GACCAGGGAGACGTCTTGAACTGATAATGACCTTTTTAGCTCACCTTAATTTACATTTTTGCAAACAATTAAATGTGTGTTGGTCTACACAGCAATCAGCAACGTTACAGCCATGACACTGACAAGCAAGCAATCTGGACACCTATCTGGAGCAATTCCGGCATATCAGTGACTGCTGTCCTACACCTATATTTCCATTCACCAGCTATATTCATACATACTCAGCGTCATTATTGAGGGTCACCTCGGTATGTGAGTGAGTGAGTTGGGTTTAACGCCGCTTTTAACAGTATTCCAGTTATATCGCGGCGTGTCAGCTTAATGTGGGAGGAAAGCCCGAAATGATGCAGGTCTCAGACGTTTACCACTTCGGTGAAACCCACGAGCACGGGTATGGTGCTGACAAACCTAGAAACATAAGCGGGGCGAACCGGGATTCGAACCCACAATCATAGGTTTCTGGCGTGTCCAAGGGACGCAACTCTGCACCTCGGTATGTAGGGTGTCAGACATGAATATATGCCAACAAGGTCCAAGTGTGTCGACACTGTGATTTACAGTTGTTGAACTTGTTGTTTAAAGCGATGTCACTCTGATTGGATGCTTTTTTTGTGAAACTGGAAAAATGGACGTCGACCATAAAAAATCAATGAAAAGTGCAATATTAAAGGTGATGGTAAGAGCTACCCAAAACGAGCCTGAGCCAACCAATGGCTTTGTTCATGCACGTGCAATATACATGACAAGTGAAGTCAATGTGGGTATAAAAAAGGTTCTCCCAAGATTCACCTAAACTGCACTCTAAATACGACGTTTAATCTCTTATTATTTGCGTGACCCCTCAAATATGATGAGTAATATACATATGCATCTTGTCACTGCCTCACTCCAAGGGACGTAACTCTGAATACTCTCGTCGTACCCGTTTATTGGCTTCGTTATGGGACATTTGGCCGGGAGCGGCTAATTATCATGTTATCACCTCATCCAGAGAGGATGGGGAGTGTTTTCTGTGATTCAGCAGCAATAAGAATGAACATGATTGGACTATTTAGGGACTGGTAATTTACTATTTTTATAAATTTGAACATTATATTACGGAAGCTTTTCAGGCCATTTTTTTCCTTGAAATTTAAAGACACTAATTTGAAATTTCAAGTTATAATCTTAAAATTTCAACTTATTATCTTGAAATTTCAAGATCATTATTTTGAAATTTCAAGTTAGTGTGAAATTTCAAGATAAAACAACAACATAAACATATGGCCCTAAATGGTTTCCGTATTATATAGGGACTGGTCATTTATTTAAAAGGGGGTAATAAATAAGTGTTACATGTATTGGGGGCATGCTAAAATGTTACAAATGACCAGTCCCACCCGACCCACCCACACAGCCCAGTATGCCAAAAATGACTAGTGCCTCAATACATATTAAATCAAACAAAGATGATATGCAAATCAAAGTGAAATCAAAATGTGTCTCCCGGTAACGTCATCGCTTATTCCTCAGCAAAGTTTCCTATTGACCCATCCTCTCTTTTCTTCTTTGGGTTTGGCTCCGTTATCTTCTGTGGAGGACATATACCGACTACGTAATGCATTGTTCCGACGGACGTCACGAAGCCACGCCCACTATGGATACCGTTGCCAGTCCCCCAAGCTTTGCGATGCTGATCTGTCAAAGATGGCTGAATATCATCCGCGACGGTCTAAATGGTATTACTGATAATATCTCTTTAACTTTTCATCCCGAACAGCAAGATTTCCAAACGCGCACAGGAATCTCTCGAGCATTAAACAGACAAAAAGATTAGTAATGTATCAATACGTTTTGTTCGATTCCCCACATGAGTACAATGTGTGAAGTCCATATCTGAGAATATTCGTGTGTTCCCCGCAATGATTTTGCTGGAATATTGCCAAAACGCGACTTAAAACCATAATCATTTACTCAGTCTGCATATCTATAGCAACAGGTGCGGCCCTGATGTAATCTAAGTCTTGTTCTAAGTGGCCTTACCCCACCCACTTTTGAAAATGCTGGACTCGCCCCTGGGTATCACGACGGCCGAGGTCTAGAACCCGGTGTCGCCGGCCTTGACTAACATCTTGTCCCTGAAATGAACATATTTTACAGAAAAATGCAGTTGTTAAATTATAGTTATAAAATATAATAAAAGGGAGATCAGAGACTTTCTTCATTTTCAGCCTGATACTGCAGTAATCTAGACTTGCCAAATATTATAGACATTCATGTGCTGTATTGGATATATTTGTTTGAGGGTCTGTATGACCGACTACCCTGGGGCTGAAATGCTTAGATACAGTCCATTGAAGGAAACACCGGGGGTCCGAGTGCTCGAAACTGTTTAAACTATTGATATTATTCATGGAATCAAAGTGTCTAAAGTGCTTGTTCTGTATTCACATTGAAATTATCTTCCAATAACTATGCGCTAAACTGAAAACTTTGTGAGTCGTGATACCATCTTCCTTTAGCTTTTCGCACGTGACCGGCAACCATGCATTCCTCTACACCGGACAGCAGCTTCAGGCTCGCCCGTCATCCGGGACAAAAGGAAGATATATATTACGAGCGCTTCTTACTAATCTGGTAGGCACCTATATGATCGTGGGTTCGAATCCCGATTCGTTCCGATTCTGTTTCATGGTTTGTCAGCACCATCCAAAGTTTGAAAGGTCTAAGACCTGCATCACTTTGGGCTTTCCCCCCACTGTAAGCGGAGACGCCGTGATATATCTGGAATAGTGTTCAAGGCAAACGTTAAAACTCACTCATCCATTCGCTCACTTAATTCTTGACAAGTAAATAAAACCCAAAGAAAACTACTTCTGTCTTGGTTTAGCTCTCGGTTTGCTGTATCCGGACTTTAAGTATACATCAAGGGACGTATTGTATGGGAATGGACTGGTATGCTGACTTCGATACATTCCTTCCCTTATAATAATGTGGCTGGACACTAAATATTAATGCGACTCGCACTGACTTTCGAATAGAGTCGCTTCCTATGTCACATTAATTACGCCTTCGTTCTGAAAAAAATATTTTAACAGGTTCTCGGATTAGAAAGTGACCTTTACGCGACAGCTTAATTATTCTCTGCTGGAGTGAGTGAGTTTGGTTTGGTGAGTGAATTTGGTTTTACGCCGCTTTTAGCAATATTCCAGCAATATCACGGCGGGGGACACCAGAAATGGGCTTCACACATTGTACACATGTCGGGAATCGAACCCGGGTCTTCGGTGTGACGAGCGAACACTTTAACCACTAGGATACCCGACCGCCCATTTCTCTGTTGGAAAATGTCAGTTTGTTTTTGTTTGTTTAACATTGCAACAGACATATTAGGTACTGCACTCAACTCACATGACACAAAACAGGATTTTTTCCACCATGCGATCTAAAAAAAGAACGAAATTCGCCTCTCCTAAGATGGTTAAAACAAGATCTATTAATTAACCAAAAATTATTTAAGGGATCGTTCAAAGGGCAAATCCATTCGTTGAATATATACGACCTGATTTTTTCATATGACTACAGTTAAACTGTCGTTAAAATATGTAAACCTTTTCGATTATTATTTTGCATATAAATCGGCGAAAGATCTTTTTGCAAGTGACATTAAAAATAAAAATGTCTTCAGAGAGCCCATAACATTGCGTCTTGAAATGCCACTTTGATTTGTCTTGAATAGCGCTTACTTCTATTTTAAGAATCATATAAATGATATGAGGACATGCGCTTCTCGGGAAAGAGGCTGGTACTACTTTTCTAGTTGAAACAGGGATGCATATATTATCCTCTTCGTTTAAGTGATTTCAATCGATGAGAAAACAGTTACGAATACGTTCTCAAACTGAAAACACATCACTACATTTAAACTTTGACAAAATTACCAAAATATTTTAAAATTAAACCAGAACTCTTTGAGGTCTGTATTTATACTGTGTGCACATGGGGATCGTGAACCCCGCACGCACGCACGCACGCACGCACGCACACACGCACACACACACACACACACACACACACACACACACACACACACACACCACCTCTAAAAAACAGCAGGCTCTGTCGCTTGCATAGAACACAATGCTCTTTAGTCAACAAGGACATAAAACATGCTTCTTCCCTTTTTTCTGATTTTTTTCCAATCCAAAGATTATCAGTTACTTCAGTGTGAACATCGTTATAGGTAGGCAGTACAGTGTAACACAACAATATACATAATAGTTTCAAGGATTACACAAATATTTGAAAGGATTTAGTGGTCGCGGTAGCCGCTGTCGGCTATAACAGGACGTGAGTTGAAGACCTACTGGCGACATGTTTAAAGACAAAATTTGAAATCAGTCAAAATATTGCCTTAAAGGGACAGTACGTCGATGGTTCTGTGTGTGTTCTCAAATGAATATAGCTTCAGGGTAATGTAGGCATGAATAACTGACAACCAACTGTCCTTGTGTCAAAAATAGTGGATAGTTTAACAATTTTATAGGATGATGTCAAATTTGTTTGTTTGTTGTTTAACGCCGCACTTAGCAGTATTCCAGCTATATGACGGCGGTCTGTAAATAATCAAGTCTGGACCAGACAATCCAGTGATTGATATCATGAGCATCGATCCACGCAAGTGGGATCGATGACATGCATCAACCAAATCAGCGAACCTGACCACGCGATCCCGTTAGTCGCCTGTTACGGTAAGCATGGGTTGCTGAAGACCAATTCTTCCCCGGATCTTCACGGGTCGGGTGATGTCAAACATAGTGTTAACAATATATATTTAAAATGAGGTTTATGGAATGTTTTTGCGGGGTAAAACTAAACTCAACATGTTCAAAGTAAAGCCATTGGATGTGGAGTGTATACTATGTGAAACTTTTTGAAGCAGTGCCATAAAAATAATGTTTGTTATGCGGGTTACAGGGAAGGTAAGAAATGGGAATTACTTCCCTTTGACATGTTTCCGGTGTAAACAAGCATGGCGCAGTTTGTCCAACATGACCCGTCGGCGTTGAGAATTATTCACGTTTTGAAAGAAAGTTGTTGTCAGTTTTCCGCTAGCAAGGCTCTAGAATGGAAAAAGATTAGCATTTGCAAAAGGTCACGAGATCTGAAAGAAGGAGAATTTGTGATCCCTAAAGGAAGCACATCCAAAGCTATCGAAGAGGTGTGTTTACTGACGCATTATAGAGCCAAGAAAGCAGACATATTATATTAACTGACCGATAACGAGTTCCTGTGGCCCAGAGGGAAAAAATCCATGCCTTTGCTAATTTTGTCTTTTGGACATTTAAATAACAATCATTCAGTGTCCTAGAATATGACCTGACATTAATTTTGTCTGAAAGACTATATTTTAACATCTAAATTGATTGATAAACGTGGCTGCAAAGTGAATTTGATTAACATTTTCCTGAGCCATTATTGCAGAAAATCACTGAAACAATATATGCACATGCGCATGACACATGATTAGGCTCAGTTTCCATAAGTCAGTGTCACTCTAGGTGATGTGGAAATCTATACATTGCACATCTTGTAGCCTAAAGTAGCATCTAGTTGTAATAGGGAATGGAATCATCCCACAGATGAGATCCTTACCCTTGCATGCAGGTTCACCCCCTTGAACAAGGCGACCCGACCTCAGGTCAGAGGGTCAGTGGATAGAATCCCATCACGGAACTCTAATATTACATAACCACTACACTAAGATGTGCACAATATAACTGGTATACCACGATTGAAATGCCGGCAAATATGTGTCACAATGCGTAAACTTAAGTCACATTGAAATTATGAAATTCAGACTTTAGCATGTTTAGCATCTGATTCCAGCGATCGAAAAACCATATACTGTTCACTATCACTAGTATCAGCTTACTGTATAATGTGTCTATTATGTATGTGTTATTACCATAGCATCATCCAACATAACAAATGACAGATGAAGAACGGATGCAATATATTGTAGAGAATGTCACAATACATGAATCATTATTACAATAAATTGCAATTCAAAAGTCCTTACAGTATCCATCACAAGCTGCACTAGGGTAAAGTCGGGTAGCTAACTAGCAATAGCATTCGCTCATCACGCCGTAGACCATGCAGGGTTCGATTCATGGCATGGGTACAACGTGTGAAGCCCATTTCTGGTGTCCCCCATTTTGATATTGCTGGAATATTGCTAAAAGCGTCGTAAAACCAAACTCACTCCACCACTCACTCACTCACTCACTCACAAGCTGCACTATCACCATGTTCTCGCTTCTGTATGCTTTGCCTTTTCTTCCAGACTCCCTCCATTCTGCTGGAGTATCTTCAGTCTCTGGTACCCCAACTCAGCACTGTGGATCTACCTGTTATGCCTTTTCTTCCAGACTCCCTCCATTCTGCTGGAGTATCTTCAGTCTCTGGTACCCCGACTCAGCACTGTGGATCTACCTGTTATGCCCTTTTTTCCAGACTCCCTCCATTCTGCTGGAGTATCTTCAGTCTCTGGTACCCCGACTCAGCACTGTGGATCTACCTGTTATGCCTTTTCTTCCAGACTCCCTCCATTCTGCTGGAGTATCTTCAGTCTCTGGTACCCCGACTCAGCACTGTGGATCTACCTGTTATGCCTTTTCTTCCAGACTCCCTCCATTCTGCTGGAGTATCTTCAGTCTCAGCTACCCCGACTCAGCACTGTGGATCTACCTGTTATGCCTTTTCTTCCAGACTCCCTCCATTCTGCTGGAGTATCTTCAGTCTCTGGTACCCCGACTCAGCACTGTGGATCTACCTGTAATGCCTTTTCTTCCAGACTCCCTCCATTCTGCTGGAGTATCTTCAGTCTCTGGTACCCCGACTCAGCACTGTGGATCTACCTGTTATGCCTTTTCTTCCAGACTCCCTCCATTCTGCTGGAGTATCTTCAGTCTCAGCTACCCCGACTCAGCACTGTGGATCTACCTGTTATGCCTTTTCTTCCAGACTCCCTCCATTCTGCTGGAGTATCTTCAGTCTCAGCTACCCCGACTCAGCACTGTGGATCTACCTGTTATGCCTTTTCTTCCAGACTCCCTCCATTCTGCTGGAGTATCTTCAGTCTCAGCTACCCCGACTCAGCACTGTGGATCTACCTGTTACGTGTGTTGACGCGGACAAATACAATCATGCAAGGTTACATGTTGATAGACCAAAGAGTTTTTCAAATATCATCAGGCTGGTTGAACAAAGGGGAGACAACTATGGCAACTGTCAGCATAGATCTTCACATCCTGTGGTGCTGAACCCAGCAGACTTTCTTTGTATCAATGATGATGACTTCATAGCCACACCAGCTCATATCCGATATCTCATAGTGCTCCAGCATGTGAAACACTTACTATCTGCAAATGGGTAAGAAGCTTAAGAGAATTATGTCAGATGTGTGACAATTACGATGATAACAGAGCTCCAGATAAACTGCGTATCTGCGTAAAATATGCATCAGAAATGCAGAAATACGCAGTAAAATAAAATCCAAGTGTATCAAATACGCAACGAACATTACAGATACGCTACAAAAATAAAACTTGTGCGTATCATCAAAATATTGTGAAGTAACCCTGCGTATTCGATTAGCAAATCAGCAACTTATTTGCCTTGCCAAACTCCACGATGACAGTTACATCATGATCATTTGCCCTCACACTTTCTTGTGGAAGTATCGTGATATTTTGGAGTCCTATAAAGCTCTCGAACCCACACGACACCAGTTTGCAGGGACTAGATGAATAGTGTTTTCAAATATTTAACTCCAATATTCACATGTGTAAAAACTAGTGGGTAACAGAAATTTGAATACCCAGATAGAATTACTGATACCAAATGATTTTAAAATGCATGCGTAAAATACCCAAAACACCAAAAGCTTATCTGGAGCTCTTTGATAATATATGTATTTCATTCGGTATATATTATCTGAACTTTTAAGCCTTTAATTATGATAATCATGTTGTATGCATAAGGTTGTTACAAAGGTCTGTCATAGAAAACACAAGGTAAAAGTTCAAAATGCAAGATGGTTAAAACACCAAAGAGTGGCCTGGGCAAAGTGCGAAATTCAATATAAACAATTTATGAACAACACTGATGTAGAATAGTCCACTTAAGGATGAAGGATTGACAGTGTGGTTTTTTTTCCTGTTCATTGAGGTATGAACTGCACAGGGTATAACTAAAATGTCACCTCAGAAAAACGTCAACGAGCAAAAACGTCACTGATTGGCAAAAACGTCACCTCGCCTAAAGCAAATACTGCTCCTATTGCCTGGCGAAAACAGCACCTTACTCTTTTTTTACCTTGGTACCGAAATACATGAAATAAAACTCACAAACTTGCAAACACAAATAATTGTGAAATGTTAATCGCCTTAAAACAAGTTTACATTAGAAATTAGCCTCTATTCCAATTGATTGGAAGGCGCAACTAAAGTTATTGTGAAAACATGACATGCTTTGATTACCTCTACTCACATTAAGTCATTGTCAAGCTGAAACTGAGTCTGGCAGAAATGTTAAGAAATTAGACTACAGGTATACTATGTACAATGTATTTGATATTTATTTTAGTAAGTAGGAAAAAAATAGTAATTTTAATGATATTTCATATATATCTCCCCTTTCTGTCTGCAGCCGACATCACAAGAATGTTTCTACAGATAATAGATCATGTCCCCACCCAAGGAAAACACATATACTACAACATAACATTATAAAGCATGTAAATAAAGCATCCTACTACCGGTACATAAATCATTCTTATTGTTACTAAAAATAGAGGTGCCGTTTTCGCCCGACAATAAGTAGCCCTTTTCGCTGAAAACTCGGTGACATTTTGCTAAGGTGCCATTTTAGCCTGCACCCAATTGCACAACTGATTTGCAAACTGTATGAATCCGCATCGCATTAAAATCAGGCCTGATGACTTCGTGATGATACAGGTGAGCATAAAAGGAATTCCCTCGACTATAATTGGGATTCTCCGACATTTCGGTAGTGATGAATGTAGTCCCCTTCAGCGGCATGGCTTAATTTTTTGGATTCAATGGGAAATGAATGCAAGAAAACATGATCATTTCAGCTAATCTGAATACAGGAATTACACAATGAAAATTTATTATTTGAGGTTGTGTAAATGGCAGTGGCATGACTGATTACAGTGTATTACATTTACAATGGTCCTGGAAGCTCAATATAATCATATGTTTTACACTAATACGATATCTCTCTGTATTAAGATCTGAGGACACGTCCACATGTGATCGCGTCCGTGAGCACAGTGTGCCCTGATCGACCTCAGACCACCCAGCCTAAATGTATAATATGTGGGTTCTTGAGCCAATCTTGTGTCAGCATTCTAATACAATTCGGAAATATTGATTTTAACAAACGTAAACCAACGCAGGACTCAAATATGCCTTTTTGGTGTAGATGTAATGGAGCTCAGAAATTAAGGTTTGTATAAAATGTCCACAGATATATAATGTTTTGGCCTGCATTATCGGGAAAGGTTTCAAGATTCAGACAGCAGATATACTGGTCTTAATGCTTCGCTCACTCGTACAGATTATTGGCTACTCAGAAAGTTTACCTCCTATGGAAATGCCCTTAGATGTTCACAGAGGTATTGTATCAGAGGGAAAGTTTGGATATTAATGAGATTGAATGGTGCTTGTGAAATATCAGACGAACTATATTATACCAGTCAAAAACCAGTATAAATTTACATATTTGCCACTACATAGATACCCTGTTTGAATAATCAGTATTGTTTGGCATGATTCTGTCCACAACCTATGTGTTCACAGGTATCACATAGAGCAGGTTCCAGTTGCGAGGTCAGCCAAACTAGGTGACATTTCAGCTTCTCTTGGACTTGATTCCTGTGTATCAGCAACAGAAGATGAGAATCGTTGCCATGACGTCATGGCCAGATTGAGAGACTCTCGGTACAGGGAGCAGCTGGGTTCTTTGAATAAACAGAAAGATGATATTGAAGATGTTGATGAAGCTGGTGACAGACAACACGCTGTGTTTATTAACTTGAGACATTTCATGGAGGAAAACCATATAGATGCTGGAAAGACAGGGTTTGATAAGAATTTGTCTCTCGTGGATGGTGAGTCAAGTACCATGGTTACATTTCACCGTGTTTACCATATTTACAGTAACAGCTGATCTTAGCTCAGGGACGGTTGGGTAGCCTAGTGGTTAAAGCATTCGCTTGTCACGTCAAAGACCCGGGTTCGATTCTCAACAGGGGTACAATGTGTGAAGCCCATTTCTGGGGTCTCCCATCGTGATATTGCTGGAATATTGCTAAAAGCGGCCTAAAACCATACTCACTCATATATATTAGCAGTATTCTTTTAATGTTCTTTCGTTCTTATGCAATACCATGATATATTGCCTGTCCTTTGTACATGTTGTAGGTATTTTGTGACACTGTGGTTGCAATAGTGAGTTGTCTCCCTTTACTGACAGAGTTACACTCTCGGTAACATTACCAAGGCCGTAGTTAACTTTTTTTGACAGGGGGGGGTGGCAAATAAGATTATTAATTTCTTATTCACAAGGAAAAATGTTTTCTATGATCACCCCCCCCCCCCCCCCAAGAATCTTGAAAATTGTCCTCTAACCCCAAATGGAGTAATATTATAGTTTTGTTAATGTCTTTTGGAATACCAACATAGTGAATTTTGAAAAGGTTCACAACTGACCAAATTTCCCAGATGAATTTAACTTTTTGTTTGATCAGATTGGTTTGAGGTTGCAGACGACCGGAAAATCGCCCAACTTCCTGATTGATCAGATGAAAGGTCGTTCTGACGTGACCTGTAATGGGATGTCCCCAGATCTTTGTATAGTGGTTCCAGACCTGTGAAGATCCCATGCTTGCCGTAAAAGGTGACTATGCTTGTCGTAAGCAGCGACTAACGGGATCGGGTGGTCAGGCTCGCTGACTTGGTTGATGCATGTCATCGTGTCCCAATTGCATGGATCGCTGCTCATGATATCAATCACTGGATTGTCTGGTCCAGACTCGATTATTTACAGACCTCTGTCTTATATCTTGAATATTGCTGAGTGTAGCGTTAAACAACAAACTAAACAAAGTATAGTGGTTCCAAGCACTGTGTCTGTTAATGAGATTGCAGTTTCTTTCCCAGTGTTTCCATTTAGTACCGGTAAAAGCTGACTGTTACTCATGTATACTCATGTTACAGCATTAGCCAATCATCATGACGCAATCACATGATCATCCAACCTGCTCACTCACTTGTGCCATCCATCACTCCACATGCTCTCTGTCTATTCCTTCTTCATCCAGTTCTGTGACTTTAGTCACTAGTCCGAAGCCTGAGTCTGACCCGTGAAGATCTGGGTTAGAATAGGTCTTCAGAAACCCATGCTCGCCATAAAAGGTGACTATGCATGCCCCAAGAGGCAACTAACTGGATCGGGTGGTCAGGCTTGCTGAATTGGTTGATGCATGTCTTCGTATTCCAATCAATCAATGCTCATGATGTTAATCACTGGATTGTCTGGTGCAGACTCGATTATTTACAGACCGTCGTCATATAGCTGGAATATGGCTGAGTGCAGCGTTAAACCACAAACAAACAAACAAAAACTTATAAACTTTCTCCTGGTTCAGAAACATCAACTTACGTCACTCCATGAAGTAAACTAAGACTAAATCACACTTGTTTTGAAAATTATGCCAAAATACATGTTGTGATTTGTTATCATGGTAAACTCCCAAGTCTGTGGTACAGGCTGTTCACCATCTGTTGTTAAACCTCATCACCTGCAATACAGTCAGTTTGGCCGAGCCAGCCCATATCTGTCTCAGCAGTCAGCAGTCAGCATCCTCCGATATTATTCTCAATATGGTGGCTGAATGTTCATTTCTTTTCCGTAAGGTTATTGGAACTGTGAAGATTCTGGGGTAGAATAGGTCTTCAGCAACCCATGCTTGCCGTAAAAGGCGACTAACGGGATCGAGTGGTCAGGCTCGCTGACTTGCTTAATGCACGTCATCGATCCCAATTGCGTGGATCGATGCTCATGATATCAATCACTGGATTGTCTGGTCCATACTCGATTATTTACAGACCGCCGTCATATAGCTGGAATATTGCTGAGTGCGGCATTAAACAACAAACCAACCAACCAACCAACCTTAAGGTAATTGAAGTATTTCTCTATCATTAATTCATACTGTTATTACAAATGTTGTATGGCTGTTTTATGTCGAACATATGACTATAGCTGTGATGAACTGTTCCCAGCCAGTGAATGCATGATCAGTTTTTCCCTCTTCTTCTCCTTCAGTTTGTCATGAAGATGGTCCGACTGACAACGTCCTGCACATCTCAAGGTTAAAAGAATGTTTATCACAAACGGTAAAAAATGATGACAATTTTATGTCATTCCATGTTTAAAGCATCGAGCACTCTGCTAAAGGAGAGAAGCATGTTTTAAAAGTACAAGATGTATTATTTAGATAACACATAGAAAATTTGATTCCAGTCTGTAATGTTTATTACCGTATTCGACGTAATAAGCGCCCAGGGCGCTCTCAAAATTAGAAATAGGGGGCTCTTATTAGAATAAAATTTTGGTGAAATAAAAACAGTTGAAAGATTGTAAACTTCGTGGTTTATGCTAACAGCCTGAAATGATCTGTGTGTATTATACACGACAGATATATTTTTCCAGAATTTAATTGCCCGTAATTAAGGGTGCATATAACACACGAGTGCATATTATACACGAATAAATAAGTCTTGTGTACATTAATCAATCGGAAGGGGTGCTAATCGGGATTGTTCACTTGCCAATATATTAGCAAATATCGCTGTGGGCGCTTATTAGAGCGGGGCACTTATTACGTCGAATACGGTATTTAGATAGAGTCATGAAGTATCCAGAAGCTTGTCCAAGCTGGCCCAGTCACATTTTGTTTTGCAGAGTTGCATCCCTTGGGCATTACCAAAAACGTATGATCATAGATTCGAATCCCTGTATGCCCCGAATATGTTTCTAGGCTTTGTCGGCACCATACCCGTGCTCATGTTTTTCACCAAGATGGTAAACGTCTGAGACATGCATCACTCCAGACTAACCTCCAACATCCAACCAACATGCGGGGATATAACAGGAATACCGTTCATAGCAGCATTAAACTCATCTCGGCTCATTTCTTATGATACCAATCACTGGATTGCTTGGTCTAGACGTGATTATTTACAGGCCGCTATCAGGTCACAGGAATGTTGCTTTGTGCAGCATTAAAACAAAACAAACACACAAAAATTCCAAGACTCCCAAGGGGTGCCGATGTACTCGTAACATGAATGATGCTGACTGATGCTGTCTGCTGCAGATGGAGTCTACAGCACATGTGATACACGTGGTCTCCGAGAGTCGAGCCTTCACCCAGCAACAGACTGACCTATTGTTGAGGATTGCAGGGGTGGAGGGGTTGGTGGGACAGACCCATTTTGTCCTGGGGTCGGTTACAGGAAGGTCAGGCCAACCATGCAGCAAAACAGCTCAGGAGTTTATTCAGTGAGTATAATGTGGAGACTGGTAGTTTGGAATAAAAGATCTTGTTTAAGGAAGTGACTTTTTTTACCATTACACATGTTAAAGCCTTGTTGAGCTGGGCAGTCTTGTTGTTGGTTTAGAAGTGGATGCTGGATGCCTCTTGGGGGTCATATACCCGGTACTTTGTGCATGTTATGTCATGTTGGTTTGTCTGTTTCCTCAGTTTAGTGTAAGGTTGTCAGGTATTACCGGTATATCTGTAAATTGAGGTTCATTCTTTCCATGGTACGTATCACAGAGCTCCAGATAAGCTGCGCATCTGCGTAAAATACGCATCAGAAATGCAGAAATACGCAGTGAAATAAAATCCAAGCATATAAAATACGCAACGAACATTACAGATACGCTACAAAAATAAAACTTGTGCGTATCATCAAAATATTGTGAAGTAACCCTGCGTATTCGATTAGCAAATTAGCAACTTATTTTGAAATTATATACAGACATTCCGTCAACCTTGCCAAACTCCATGATGACAGTTACATCATGATCATTTGCCATCACACTTTCTTGTGGAAGTATCACAGTATTTTTGAGTCCTATAAAGCTCTCGAACCCACACGACACCAGTTTGCAGGGACTAGATGAATAGTGTTTTTAAATATTTAACTTAAATACCCACATGTGTAAAAACTAGTGGGTAACAGAAATTTGAATACCCAGATAGAATTACTGATACCAAATGATTGTAAATGCATGGGTAAAGTACCCACAACACCAAAAGCTTATCTGGAGCTCTGGTATCACAATGTCATTCTTTCATGCTCGATATATTGGGTGATTTCAAATTGGTTTTTTTATCATGTGTTTAATGTTATATACTTGCTAAATGCCTTTGATGCCCAGGAGCAGCATCCAGGGCCCCAAGATGGCTGTGTATTTATTGAATGAGTAAACATTATGTTGTACCAGCATCTTGTTTTGTTCCATTTATGAACTTCAATTCATACCTAAATGTATCAGATTGCTTCTGAATTAAAAATTTAGAATGATACAATATATCGTGATACGTATCGCAATATGGCCTTGTGCATTGCAAAATATTGTGATACACTTTAAACCTCAAATAACCATCCCTCATTGAGGGGTAATGAAAACAACAACAAAATCATTTGGAAGGATCTTACCTTGTTTTAAAGAAGGACTATTTTTTACAATCCACCATTCCAGTCGGGATGTGAGATATTGTAATTTGTGTCACATGTATTCATCATGGGGTGTTGTACAAAAGGAATTGTGACATGTGTGATGGACTTCAAACCTACAAGGGCTGCCAATTTGTCTTAGCACCTCTCTCACATATGACTCACATCTTCTCCTGTTTCTCTGAGGTATGTTTGAGAACAGGTTTTAAGCAGGAACTTGGTACATTTGTAGATTGAGGCTGGACCAGATGAGAGAGGCGTCCATCATGAAATATGGGGATGAAGTTCAAGGTAAGGCTTGTCACCATGGTAATTGCCATCAACTCATTTGTTTTCATTGAAATTCATGTCAATGCCATTCAAATGTTCGAACATTGTGATTGATTTACAATATTAAATGCAGAACATTATCTTCAAATATAAATATTTGATTTAGCACTTCCATTTGTTGCACATGTTCAAGAATAAGAGTTACTGCTGCTTTCAGTGAGATGTGGGGTTATTTGTGAACCCTTGTTGCTGCTTTTGCTCTGGATTTTCATGTCACAATGTGAAAGCAAATATATCCTGAACTCATATTACACTATTACAATTATATCTCATGGCCTGTCTCATGTCTGAAGTATCTCAACCTGAAACAAAGTACTCCTGTGAGATCAACCCCAAATCATTGTCGTTTAGTTCATGATGTGTGCTTCATATTCCCTTGATGTCCTTCATATGTCCATGAAACATCCTTGATGATGTCCTTCATATGTCCATGAAACATCCTTGATGTGTCCTTCATTTGTCCATGAAACATCCTTGATGATGTCCTTCATATGTCCATGAAACATCCTTGATGTGTCCTTCATTTGTCCATGAAACATCCTTGATGTGTCCTTCATATGTCCATGAAACATCCTTGATGATGTCCTTCATATGTCCATGAAACATCCTTGATGTGTCCTTCATTTGTCCATGAAACATCCTTGATGATGTCCTTCATATGTCCATGAAACATCCTTGATGTGTCCTTCATTTGTCCATGAAACATCCTTGATGATGTCCTTCATATGTCCATGAAACATCCTTGATGTCCTTCATTTGTCCATGAAACATCCTTGATGTGTCCTTCATATGTCCATGAAACATCCTTGATGATGTCCTTCATATGTCCATGAAACATCCTTGATGTGTCCTTCATATGTTCTTCATATGCCAGTCATGTCCTTCATATGCCACTAATGTTGATGATGTCCTTCATATGTCCATGAAATGTCCTTGATGTGTCCTTCATATGTTCTTCATATGCCAATCATGTCCTTCATATGTCCATGAAATATCCTTAATGTGTCCTTCATATGCCACTAATGTTGATGATGTCTTTCATATGTCCATGAAATGTCCTTGATGTGTCCTTCATATGTTCTTCATATGCCAATCATGTCCTTCATATGTCCATGAAATATCCTTAATGTGTCCTTCATATGCCACTAATGTTGATGATGTCTTTCATATGTCCATGAAATGTCCTTGATGTTTCCTTCATATGTTCTTCATATGCCAATCATGTCCTTCATATGTCCATGAAATATCCTTGATGTGTCCTTCATATGCCACTAATGTTGATGGTGTCCTTCATATGTCCATGAAATATCCTTGATGTGTCCTTCATATGCCACTAATGTTGATGATGTCTTTCATATGTCCATGAAATGTCCTTGATGTGTCCATGATATGTCCTTGAGTTCTGTGCACAGTGAGATATCTGCCATAATCTTCTTTGAACGTATGACAGTACCATGTTTCTTTGGGCAGGACAGGGATGGGAGACAACTCTGTCAGGGATGTCCTCAGCCAGCATTGCTTTCGAGATGTTGACTACATCCAGTAGAAACAGTGTAAGTACCTGGTGATGTTTGTTTGTTCACCACCCAGGATTGCTAGCCCTGTTTGTAATACAGTAAACTACAGTTGTGACGAACTCAAAGGGACCACTAACTCTAGTTCGTTATAACAATAGTTCATTATAATCATTATACAGCACATATACAGCAAATGACCAGGACCCAAAAAGCAGTTTGTTATCTCTGTCAGTTCGTTATAAACATGGATTACTGAGCAAAGGTACATGTATCAATATCACAATGAGGTCTTCTTATTATCATGGATGATAAAGATGCAGTCAGCAGTCTTCCAGCTATATCATGGTAGCCTGGAAGTATCAAGTCTGAACCAGGCCAACCAGTGGCTGATAGCATGAGCAACGCCCCACATGTATAGAATCCTTATGTGGCATTCAGAAGCTTTAGTATCAGTGAGGACAGGGATGGCTCAAGGATTTCAACTTTCTTTCAATGCAATGTTTCAGTTTATTTGTTTTTAGTTTGTTTGTTTGTTGTCTAACGCCCCCTCGGCATTATTCCAAATATAAGACGGCGGTCTGTAAATAATTGAGTCTGGACCAGACAATCCAGTGATTGACATCATGAGCATCGATCCACGTAATTTGGATACCATAACATGTATCTACTAAGTATGTGAGCCTGACACCCGATCCCATTAGTTGCCTCTTACGACAAACATAGTCGCCTTTTACAGCAAGCATGGGTTGCTGAAGACCTATTCTACCCCGGATCTTCACGGGGCTTTTGGTACAAGTGCTGGTACTTTATCAAGCATGTGATTGTTTCATACAGGTACCAGCACCTGTTCTAAAACATTACATTGAATTTCATTGATTGAAAGATTAAGGAAGTTAAAATCCATATGCCGTCCCCGCTTCATCTTTATGATATAATATAAGATAGCTACGCAATAAATCACAAATATCAATGAAGAACGAAGATTGGTTTAATTCACGATAAACCATTGTTCTATCATGACATCATTTCTGGAGATTCAAACATGCGTTCACAAGTAGATGGCATCGTACTGTGGGCGACGTTATTTTTTAGAGGGAAGTGTCCAGTGATTTGTTCCTCATGGATGTAGTTAGGCAACGTAGATAAATGCAATCGCTTCCAAAAGTGGAGAGATATTACCATCAGTAGTGGGAGAAAAGGTACCAATGAAAGGAACAGGGAACTGTTAATTGATGTGAAAATTGTGAGAATATGTGTGAAAGACCAAATTTAACCCCCCTGTTCATAAAATGGACTTGTCTCACATTGCCGTGATTGGAGAGTTATCATTATTTAAATATGGGTAAATATTTTTTGGAGCGTGTACTTTTTACTAACATCCTTAAAGAGGCTGTACGTAATGTTGATATCTCATATATGAAATAAATGATTCATGGTCGTGGTTTATCGTACAATAAAACACTGCAGGGAGAATAAACCACTCGGGGCTGCACCCGTCATGGCTTATTCTCCCTGCAGTGTTTTATTGTACGATAAAAACTCCCACTCATTGTTTATTTCTTTATAAGTAAAAATCAGCCACATCAAACAGCCAGAGACACGAACCCAGTTTTAGCCAGGATGCCAAGCAGCATGACCTACTGAGCCCTATGCTTTACACGGAGTTTGTCCTTGTGTAGGTACATGTATTATATATTTTGCTATTTGTATACTCTCAGATTTGAAAAGGGGCAGTCGGGTAGCCTAGTGGTTAAAGTGTTTGCTCGTCACACCACAGACCCAGGTTTGATTCCCGACATGGGTACAATATGGGAAGCCCATTTCTGGTGTCCCCCGCCGTGATATTGCTGGAATATTGCTAAAAACGGCATAAAACCATACTCACTCACTCACTCACTCAGATTTGACCATTTTCTGTTACATTATTTGATAGAGTCTCATGTTGCTATTTTTGTATTATTTGAACAGGTGAAGTTGGACGTGTCTGATGAGGACCGTATGGGTGCGGAGAACCGAGCGGGGGCATTTGTCATGTACAACTGTGCCAGATTGTCTACCCTCTTTACTCATTTTGAGGAGGCTGTTGAGAAAGGTTCAGATATATTAAAACAGATTCAGTCTTAAACAAACCTTATTTCTCTTGTAACATTCTCAAAATATAATTTAGGTCTCCTGTTTTTTAAGATAATTTACGTGACTCACCGACAAATTTTTTGTTGTTGGTCTGTCTCGTAAACCATCTAAAGTTAGAAATTTGTTTTTGAATGTTTACAGTTATTTTTAGGCCAACTTCCAATTAGATTTTGCAATTAGGTGCAATTAAAAAAACACAAAAGACTGTTGTTCGCAAGAAATGATGAATAATATAGACAGACAGACAGACAGATTTATTTGTATAAGGCCATTTGACCCATTGTACAAAATAATATGTATAATATATATAAAAATAGTTATTCTAGCAAAAAAACGAAAACATCCTTTATCTTTTTGTATGGTTTCACATTCCTACTTCCGCGATAGTGTGACCTTGGAGTTTGTTTTTCAATTATTAGTAGAAGAGTTCATCTGGAAGTTGAAAATTGTTTTAATAATATTTCCGAACACTTACAATAATTTTTAGGTAAATTTTTTTTGAAAGCAACTAATAAAAGAAAAAAGGCCTTTAAATAGCGAGTGCAAGTTCATCAAGGGAAGTGCAAATGTTGGTGAGCTGTTATATTATGTCATGAGATACAATCATTATATTCATCACATTTACCAGACCGCCTCCGTGATCTAGTGGTAGAGCGTCTGCCCGGAGAGCGGAAGGTCCGGGGTTTGATACCTGGCTGCGTCATACCAAAAGACGTTAAAAGATGGTACTTGTTGTTACCCTGTCTGGCGCTTGGCATTAAGGGGCTAAAACAAGGACTGGTCGGCTCGGAGTCAGTATACTGTGTCTGAGTGGGATATTCATGTTAAACTGCAGCATAGTATCTCAGTGAGCTAGCACTATAAATCGGCATCAGTCCGGACTAGTACAAGCAGTCACACAAACACACGTACGTACATGCATGTCGCTATATAAGTGCAATAATCTTGTATGCGATGTTAAACCCCATTTCACCTCACCTCACTTCACATTTACCAACACATACATTTAAACCATGAAATAAACTGACATGAAAGATATGTTGAGTTCCACTGTTAGACTAATGACTGATATAGGTTATATCATTGATGCTCCTTGTTCTTTACTTAATATCTAGAGAGCACTAAACGAGTGGACAGTCGTCTAATAGTTGCATCCCTTAGACGTGCCAGAAACCTATGATCATGGGTTTTAGTCATCATAAATAATGGTTCATCCTGATAATGTTTCTAATTTGTCAGCACCACACTCGTACTTGTGGGTTTCACCAAAGTGGTAAAGGTTTTAGACCTGCATGACTTCAGGCTTTCCTCCCACATCAAGTAGACGCACTGTCATACAACTGTAATACTGTACAAAGCGGCGTAAAATCCATCGCACTCACTCACTCTCTTCTTATTTTTCTGTCTCTTGACATTTTTACAAGAAGCAGCTTTTATGCCGCTTGATAATGTCATATATATCTCAGTGAATGAACCAAGAAATTAAGAGCTTCAGGACCATTGAAATATTACTTGTAATCTGTTACAAAGTCACCTGTTGTTTGCTTAGCTTATGATGAAAACCCTATTTCCCCAGGAATCTACCCACCACTCCCACCTGTTGCAGACGTCAAGTTTGAGCATCTTAGACAAGAGGTGAGTTGATTCAAACGTTATTTTTGATGCAGTGTTTGAAAGAAAAAACAATTGCCAGGCTTGCCAACAGGACCCACATACTATAGAAGCTGCCCTGACTAAACTTTTCAGGCCCTGACGACCCTAAGGACCCATACAAATTTGAAACTACGGGTCCGACAAAAGATCTACCTGCCACGGGCCTACGGGCAGGCACTTGTTTCAAACACTGCTTGGGTGTCGCCCTCCCAATGTGGTGAGTTAATTCAAACAATATTCTTGGGCGAAATTCCACATCTCAGATATCCTACTTACACATGTGCGCAATTAGTGAATGGAGTCCAGTTGCTGAGGACACTTTGTCACCAGAGGCCATTCCAGAGAGTGATTTGGGGTTACGTATTCAGCTTACTATGAACAGTTCATTGTGAACCTTTGTATTATAACCTAAACAGCTTTTCACCCCATTATGGGTCACGTCAGACCGACCTTGTGTGAACTTTGACCGACCAATGGAATGACTGACGAGAAGTCGACATTAGCCAATCAGAAGGCAGCTTTCTCGTGCTTTACGCCACTAATTTCAAATTGATGACTACGCTTCGAAACATATTTTGACAAATTCTCGATTAAAAATTTGAAACCTGAACAAAAGAACATTCTGGAATGGCTATTTGATAGTCTAGATTGTATGGATTCAGTCGTTAAGCCCGTAACTATCATTCGGAATACCCCATGTTAAAGTTTTCGAGGTTGCATGATTAGAAATCACATTCCGACTGTCACTTTCATGATCTGGTAAGCGACGCTCTGATTGGTTGGATGTAAGGTCGTTTTGACGTGATCCCTAATGGGATGTCCTCAGATCTTTGTGTAGCGGTAGCGAGAACTAAGGTCTGATTTTAATGAGATTGGACCCGCTCCTTCTTTTGGGTATTCAGATGTAAAAAATGGTTCCATTGCTTGTATATTGTGTTCTCTCAGCTCAACTGGTAACGTTTAGATTTTGGTTTCCAAGTACATGTAATTATTTTTACCCAAGTATTGTTTCCAGTGTCGTCTTATGTGCCTAACATAGGTGACAACACCATTTTAAAAGAAGTCCTGAATGAATTGTCATTGCACTTAGGGAAATTGTACAAAGTTAAGCAAAGAATACTTCTGTCTGCTTGGGATTCCTTTTTGAATTACTTTTTAACTTATTTGTCGTAGTATTATTGCTGTCATTGGCGTGCATGTTTTGGGAGCTGAACACAAGTTTGTCTTGTACGCTACACCTGTGGTAAAATACTGTTAATGTGTGGTAACTGTTGTTAACCTGTTCTAACCTATTGTCTTGCAGTTTAACCTGTCATGACCTATTGTATACACATTTGTATTGTTGTGAACATGTCTGTGTCCATGTGATGGAGTACAAAATTGTGCTTTTCCATTTTTCATTCTTGTATGCTCTATGCAGCAGACCTAATTCAAAATTTACATATACCGGTAGTTTTAGTTTCAGTAAATGTGCCATCGTGTCAATTTTCTGTCTAGTCCATCACTTGCTTGTCTGGTTTGGTAACATGCTGCCATTGCATGTCCGGAGTACTACGCGTCAGATCCCAAATACTATCTTTTTATGCAAATTGTGTGAGTGACAGGTACTACCAGTAGGGCAGGACATGCTTACCATTTTTACGAACACCTGGTGTTCAGTGATCCTTCTATTAAATTTCCATGGCCATTTTGCCTTTTAGTCCCACTTGAATGCTTACCATTTTTACGAACACCTGGTGTTCAGTGACTCTTCTATTAAATTTCCAAGGCTATTTTGCCTTTTAGTCCCACTTGAATGCTTACCATTTTTACGAACACCTGGTGTTCAGTGACCCTTCTATTAAATTTCCAAGGCCATTTTGCCTTTTAGTCCCACTTGAATGCTTACCATTTTTACGAACACCTGGCGTTCAGTGATCCTTCTATTAAATTTCCAAGGCTATTTTGCCTTTTAGTCCCACTTGAATGCTTACCATTTTTACGAACACCTGGTGTTCAGTGACCCTTCTATTAAATTTCCAAGGCCATTTTGCCTTTTAGTCCCACTTGAATGCTTACCATTTTTACGAACACCTGGTGTTCAGTGATCCTTCTGTTAAATTTCCAAGGCCATTTTGCCTTTTAGTCCCACTTGAATGCTTATCATTTTTACGAACACCTGGTGTTCAGTGACTCTTCTATTAAATTTCCAAGGCTATTTTGCCTTTTAGTCCCACTTGAATCTGTATTGCCGGATAATCGAGAGTAGATGTTCTCTAGCGTTATGTTTTTATTTAACATGTTATATGTCAGGAAGAGAATATTTGGAGAATAAGTGAGTGACCTTTTCCCCTGATGAAGGAGTAAGCATATACTCCGAAACATTGTGTTCCTCATAATAAAGAAGTTGACATTCATATATTCTCTTCCTTATGTCTATCACTTCTAAATGCCTTTCAAAGACCTGATGTTAAATGTCCGCGGAATCCATAAATCAATTCTTCTGTTTTCCCTTTTATTACCAGCAAGGTTTTTTTCGTTCAAATTTACAGTGCTTTATACATGACCTTGTGTTCCCCAGGAGGAATGGGAGCTTATGTTTAACTACATCTACCCATACCCTGACCTCGTGGAACAGTGCGTGGAGAAAGTGGCGCCCTCTGCTGGAGACATACAGGCTCGCATACACACACACAAGGTACCTGACTGTACAAGGCTTCTTTGTACAACAACCTAAGACAATTTAAAATGAAACCTTTTACTAAATGACTGTACAAGCTGTACAACAACCTATGCCTGACAATATAGAATGAAACCTTTTACTAAATGACTGTACAAGCTGTACAACAACCTATGCCTGACAATATAGAATGAAACCTTTTACTAAATGACTGTACAAGCTGTACAACAACCTATGCCTGACAATATAGAATGAAACCTTTTACTAAATGACTGTACAAGCTGTACAACAACCTATGCCTGACAATATAGAATGAAACCTTTTACTAAATGACTGTACAAGCTGTACAACAACCTATGCCTGACAATATAGAATGAAACCTTTTACTAAATGACTGTACAAGCTGTACATCAACCTATGCCTGACAATATAGAATGAAACCTTTAACTAAATGACTGTACAAGCTGTACAACAACCTATGCCTGACAATATAGAATGAAACCTTTTACTAAATGACTGTACAAGCTGTACAACAACCTATGCCTGACAATATAGGATGCAATCTTAACTACATACAGAACTACCTGTATGGTAGAACTGGAGAACCAGTGACTTGGGTAGGGATATGGAAATAGGCTCCATCCATCTGCCTGCCCTTAAGAAGGTTTTACTTCCCGGAATAACCATGCAATATTTCAGTGTGAGTGAGTATGGTTTTTCGCCGCTATTATCAATAGTCCAGCAATATCACGGCAGGGGACACCAGAATGGGCTTCACACATTGTACCTATGTCGGGAATCGAACCCATGCCTTCAGCGTGACAAGCGAACTCTTTAACCACTATACTACCCTGTCGCCCCATTTCATTGTGAAGGTTCATATTATGCTTGAGTTGTGCTAAGCTGGTGCCTCTTGTTTTTAACATATTTGATGTTCTTTTAATAATTTTTTAACTTTAAGACGTATTTACCTTAAAGGTAGGGCTTGTTTGGAAAACTCATACACCTTTTATCATTACTCTTTGAAATTTTGCATATTTTAAGGCTACGTTTTCACTACGATTTCAGATTATTTATCCACAACTGTCCTCAGGTTGGAGTCTTTACATTTCATCATTGAAGAACAAGTGGTGTGCACTATGTTTGTGAGGAGATAAATTCTGAGACAATGGTGTCAAGTTGTACTCTCCAAATTTCATTAAGTCACTCGGCTTCAGTTGACAGGATCTCAGTAGAGTTCAAAACCTGACTGAAAGAAACTTGGAGATATGTTTACTCACAGAATCATGTTTCAGCTGTGACTGTTTCAGATCAGTAACTTCCTCATCAACTTGAGTCGGTGCCTGAGCTCCTACTACAGCAGAGTGCACATCCTCGGGGTGAGTCGACATCACCAGAAGCCCTATACACTTACCAAGAGCCTTCCGAAGAACCTTCCCCAGAACCTGCATCAAAAACTTCCCTGTATCCTTCCTCAGAACCCCAATCAGAAGTTCATTATTACCTTCCCCAGAACCTCCATCGCAACTTCCATATATCCCTCCCCAGAACTACTATCGGAACTTCCCTATAACCTTACTCAGAACCTGCATCGCAACTTCCATATATCCCTCCCCAGAACCTCCATCGGAACTTCCCTATAACCTTACTCAGAACTACTATCGGAACTTCCCTATAACCTTACTTAGAACCTGCATCGCAACTTCCGTATATCCTTCCCCAGAACTTCTATCGGAACTTCCCTATAACGTTACTCAGAACCTCCATCGCAACTTCCATATATCCCTCCCCAGAACTACTATCGGAACTTCCCTATAACCTTACTCAGAACCTCCATCGGAACTTCCGTATATCCTTCCCCAGAACCTCAATCGGAACTTCCCTATAACCTTACTCAGAACCTGCATCGCAACTTCCGTATATCCTTCCCCAGAATCTCCATCGGAACTTCCCTATAACCTTACTCAGAACCTCCATCGGAACTTCCCTATAACCTTACTCAGAACCTGCATCGCAACTTCCGTATATCCTTCCCCAGAATCTCCATCGGAACTTCCCTATAACCTTACTCAGAACTACTATCGGAACTTCCCTATAACCTTACTCAGAACCTGCATCGGAACTTCCGTATATCCTTCCCCAGAACCTCCATCGGAACTTCCCTATAACCTTACTCAGAACCTGCATCGCAACTTCCGTATATCCTTCCCCAGAATCTCCATCGGAACTTCCCTATAACCTTACTCAGAACTACTATCGGAACTTCCCTATAACCTTACTCAGAACCTGCATCGCAACTTCCGTATATCCTTCCCCAGAACCTCCATCGGAACTTCCCTATAACCTTACTCAGAACCTGCATCAAAACTTCCCTGTATCCTTCCCCAGAACTACTATCGGAACTTCCCTATAACCATACTCAGAACCTGCATCAAAACTTCCCTGTATCCTTCCTCAGAACCCCAATCAGAAGTACATTATTACCTTACTCAGAACCTGCATCGCAACTTCCATATATCCTTCCCCAGAACCTCCATCGGAACTTCCCTATCTACTTCCTCAGAACCTCCATCAGAACTTCCCTATCTACTTCCCCAGAACCTCAATTGGAACTTCCCTATAACCTTATTCAGAACCTGCATCGCAACTTCCGTATATCCTTCCCCAGAATCTCCATCGGAACTTCCCTATAACCTTACTCATAACTACTATCGGAACTTCCCTATAACCTTACTCAGAACCTGCATCGGAACTTCCGTATATCCTTCCCCAGAACCTCCATCGGAACTTCCCTATTACCTTACTCAGAACCTGCATCAAAACTTCCCTGTATCCTTCCCCAGAACTACTATCGGAACTTCCCTATAACCTTACTCAGAACCTGCATCAAAACTTCCCTGTATCCTTCCTCAGAACCCCAATCAGAAGTACATTATTACCTTACTCAGAACCTGCATCGCAACTTCCATATATCCTTCCCCAGAACCTCCATCGGAACTTCCCTATCTACTTCCTCAGAACCTCCATCGGAACTTCCCTATCTACTTCCCCAGAACCTCCATTGGAAATTCCCTTTATCCTTCCCCAGAACCTCCATTGGAAATTCCCTATCTACATCCCCAGAACCTCCATCGGAACTTCCCTATCTACTTCCCCAGAACCTCCATTGGAAATTCCCTTTATCCTTCCCCAGAACCTCCATTGGAAATTCCCTATCTACTTCCCCAGAACCTCCATTGGAAATTCCCTATCTACTTCCCCAGAACCTCCATCGGAACTTCCCTTTATCCTTCCCCAGAACCTCCATCGGAACTTCCCTATCTACTTCCCCAGAACCTCCATTGGAAATTCCCTTTATCCTTCCCCAGAACCTCCATTGGAAATTCCCTATCTACTTCCCCAGAACCTCCATTGGAAATTCCCTATCTACTTCCCCAGAACCTCCATCGGAACTTCCCTTTATCCTTCCCCAGAACCTCCATCGGAACTTCCCTATATCCTCCCTCAGAACCCCTATCAGAAGTTCATTAAATCCTTCCCCAGAAAAAGTCCAGTTTCAACCCTTGCTGAACTAGGCTGGAATATTATGGAGTTATATTTTGGCTGGTGCATATTTTTGACTATATGCATAGTCCAATCAAAATTGCGAAATGAAATCGACATCTGGATCTAAACCACTGTGCAGATTAGTAGATTACGGTTGATTGCAGAATTTTCAAAGCATCTGTACCATCAACTTAGCGTCAACAGATATTTTCTCTAAATCTTTTCATGTTTTTAATCAAGGTGCTCATGTGATTTGATGCGTTTTGCAAAGCCAGACCTGTTTTATTATGTCTCCCCCAGAATGGAGGGAGACTTATTGTTTTTGGCACGGTTCCCGTCGGCGTCGGCGTCGGCGTTCCCACCGTTTCCGGACCATAACTCAGAAACCGTTTAATATTTTTTCGCGAAACTTTGTATACACATTAACCCAGAACTGAAGTGGTGCCTTTTGCTATTTAGAGATTTTTGACATTTTTATTTCTTCTCGTTTCCATGGAGATAACTTGAACATAGACTCTGAATGGGGGTAAGCTTGGTTTCCGGACCATAACTCGGAAAGCGTTTAATATTTTTTCGCGAAACTTTGTATACACATTAACCCAGCACTGAAGTGGTGCCTTTTGCTATTTAGAGATTTTTGACATTTTTATTTCTTCTTGTTTCCATGGAGATAACTTGAACATAGACTCTGAATTGGGGTAAGCTTGGTTTCCGGACCATAACTCGGAAACCGTTTAATATTTTTTCGCGAAACTTTGTATACACATTAACCCAGCACTGAAGTGGTGCCTTTTGCTATTTAGAGATTTTTGACATTTTTATTTTTTCTCGTTTCCATGGAGATAACTTGAACATAGACTCTGAATGGGGGTAAGCTTGGTTTCCGGACCATAACTCAGAAACCGTTTAATATTTTTTTGCGAAACTTTGTATACACATTAACCTAGCACTGAAGTGGTGCCTTTTGCTATTTAGAGATTTTTGACATTTTTATTTTTTCTCGTTTCAATGGAGATAACTTGAACATAGACTCTGAATGGGGGTAAGCTTGGTTTCCGGACCATAACTCAGAAACCGTTTAATATTTTTTCGCGAAACTTTGTATACACATTAACCCAGCATTGAAGTGGTGCCTTTTGCTATTTAGAGATTTTTGACATTTTTATTTTTTCTCGTTTTCATGGAGATAAGTTAAACATAGACTCTGAATGGGGGTAAGCTTGGTTTCCGGACCATAACTCGGAAACCGTTTAATATTTTTTCGCGAAACTTTGTATACACATTAACCCAGCACTGAAGTGGTGCCTTTTGCTATTTAGAGATTTTTGACATTTTTATTTTTTCTCGCTTCCATGGAGATAACTTGAACATAGGCTCTGAATGGGGGTAAGCTTTGTTTCCAGACGATAACTCAGAAACTGTTTAATATTTTTTCGCGAAACTTTGTATACACATTAACCCAGCACTGAAGTGGTGCCTTTTGCTATTTAGAGATTTTTGACATTTTTATTTTTTCTCGTTGCCATGGAGATAAGTTGAACATAGACTCTGAATGGGGGTAAGCTTGGTTTCCGGACCATAACTCAGAAACCGTTTAATATTTTTTCGCGAAACTTTGTATACACATTAACCCAGCACTGAAGTGGTGCCTTTTGCTATTTAGAGATTTTTGACATTTTTATTTTTTCTCGTTTTCATGGAGATAAGTTAAACATAGACTCTGAATGGGGGTAAGCTTGGTTTCCGGACCATAACTCGGAAACCGTTTAATATTTTTTCGCGAAACTTTGTATACACATTAACCCAGCACTGAAGTGGTGCCTTTTGCTATTTAGAGATTTTTGACATTTTTATTTTTTCTCGCTTCCATGGAGATAACTTGAACATAGGCTCTGAATGGGGGTAAGCTTTGTTTCCAGACGATAACTCAGAAACTGTTTAATATTTTTTCGCGAAACTTTGTATACACATTAACCCAGCACTGAAGTGGTGCCTTTTGCTATTTAGAGATTTTTGACATTTTTATTTTTTCTCGTTGCCATGGAGATAAGTTGAACATAGACTCTGAATGGGGGTAAGCTTGGTTTCCTGACCATAACTCAGAAACCGTTTAATATTTTTTCGCGAAACTTTGTATACACATTAACCCAGAACTGAAGTGGTGCCTTTTGCTATTTAGAGATTTTTGACATTTTTATTTCTTCTCATTTCCATGGAGATAACTTGAACATAGACTCTGAATGGGGGTAAGCTTGGTTTCCGGACCATAACTCGGAAACCGTTTAATATTTTTTCGCGAAACTTTGTATACACATTAACCCAGCACTGAAGTGGTGCCCATTAGTTGTTTGAAATTTCTAGGAGTTCTATTTTTGTCGCTGTTATCTAGTAATGGAGGGTGGGAATGAAGAGATGGGGTTTAACGTGAAGTAAACGAATGAATGGGGGTTAGGGGAGTGGGGGGAGACATATGTTTTTACGAGTAAAAACACTTTCTAGTTACAATATAGATTGATTATCAATCAGATCGTCTTTACTTGCCGCCGTCAATTAAGTTTGAAGCAAATGCAAGTGATATGAGATGTGGATCTAAGAGGTCAAAAGGAGGGGCATAGAAGGGACATAACTTGCAATAGCCACTGGTGGCGCTACTAGTTCGGCAAGGATGGAAATTGGACTTTTAAAGTCTGTTTACTCCCTTGCTTCGGGAAGATGAGAAGTTTCCTGGTAATTGACAACTAAATGGGAATCAAGTTGTCACTATAGCTGTAGGGTAACACTTATACAAGAATGACTCACTTCTGAAATGAAAGCACTAACTGCTGTTATCTTGCTGGTTGTCAATCATATTTATCTGCCACCAGTCTCATTAAAGTCAGATCTGTAGATCCAATATGATATCTCTCTGCATGAATATCTCAGGACACCGACATTTGGTGGTCACGTCAGGTGAACTTTTTAATCAGCCAATCAGCTCAAGGCTTCTAATTCTAAATGCTCAGTGAGTGAAGCATTCAGAGATGAATATCTGATTAATGTATCTCAAAAACAAATGTAACTGGGGAGTTCCAAATGAAAAAAATAAAAGTCACGCTATTATGTTGTTGTGGATATTCCATACCATGGGCGGATACAGAGGGGGCAACAATCTATATTTCTGTATAAATTACCACCAAAGACAATAAATAGATCTTAATTGTGCACCCCCCCTTTTCAAAAAAGCTGTATCTGCCCATGCATACATCGATCCTGTATCAAGGGTACATTTGCTCTGTAGCAGTTTCATTTGGTGGGATCAAAATCTCCAAATCAAGGTGTTAAAGGAACGAGGTCGAATCTTCTGATGGGCTCATGAGCCTTATTCAGACAAGGCGGTCAAAGTTTGCTCAGGGTTGTCTTGACCTTTTGAGGGGACGTGAAATGTTTACACAGTGCAGTATTGTATCAGAGAACAAGATTTGATTCAATGAAAATGAGCTGCCACTTCACTCATTGACCCGTGAAGATCCGGGGAAGAATCGGTCTTCAGCAACCTATGCTTGCCATAAATGGCGACTATGCTTGTCGTAAAAGGCGACTAACGAGATTGGGTGGTCAGGCTCACTGACTTGGTTGATGCATGTTATCGTATCCCAATTGCGTGGATAGATGCTCATGATGTAAATAACTGGATTGTCTGGTCCAGACTCAATTATTTACAGACCGCCGTCATATAGCTGGAATATTGCTGAGTGCAGCGTTAAACAAACAAACAAACACGACACATCACTCATTACTCAAATGGTCTGTTTCAAGATAACTGGTCCAAATCTATGCTTGATGTTGATTAACATTAACAACCCTGCTGATCTTGTCCCCAGGACGGCAGGCCCCATCTTCTGCCGCTGATGTACGCACGGCTTCACCTGATGAGAGCTGCCCACCGCGTCATCAAGAATGGTCTTAACCTGATGGGGATACAGCCCTTCTCGCAGCTGTAACAGTCGCGCCATATCACTCTGACAGTTGGTGTGGGGCTGGCACAGTGACAGTTCCAGAAACACTTATGGACTAGAGATTGACAAGACATTAAAGCAGAGATGAAGACGATAATTTGTTAATTCAACAATACAGCTTACACACATATGTAATATATAAAAGAAAATTACGTATTTTTTCCAATCTCCATAGACAGTCTCCATGGTGTAGACTATCTGCCTGGACAGCGGAAGATCGGTAGTTCGATCCCCAGCCACATCGTACTAAAAGGTGTTAAATGATAATACTTGTTGTTACCCTGCCTGGCGCTTGGCATTAAGAGAATAAAACAAAGTCTGGTCTTCTCCAGATTCACATGGGGTGTTGATGTTTAACTGCAGCATGGTAGCACTATGAAACCAGCGTTAATTCGGAAAAAAGTACAAGACTAACGAGATCTGGTGGTCAGGCTCGCTGACTTGGTTGATGCATGTTATCGTATCCCAATTGCGTGGATCGATGCTCATGATGTCAATCACTGGATTGTGTGGTCCAGACTCGATTATTTACAGACCGCCATCATATAGCTGGAACATTGCTGAGTGCCGCGTTAAACAACAAACCAACGAACAAAGTGATTACCGTATTTTCTTGAGTATAGTGCGCACTTTTTTTCCAAAAAACACAGCTGTGTGGAAGGGGGTGCGCATTATACACGAATTAAGAGTTTGGATGTTTTTTTCCCCCATGGAAAGACATTACCGTGAGCACGAAACACCGGAAATACCATGTCAACAAATCCATACTGAAGTACGCAAAATAATCATGTAATTACACTGTCTGGCTATAAAAAGTGTTATTTGTATATCTGGACTTATGTTTGTAACTTATTTCATTAATTTTATTCAAAATTCCTTTTAATATTGTTTTTATTAATTTCGGCGAAATCGTGTGTGAAGCGATCGGAAGATCGCACAACTCACCGTTATTAACAGCAACCACGGTACGATATGAAGTGGACCATAATCACACTCGGAGACAATCTGCTGCAAGCCATTGTACAAATGGCGTTGCTATAGGGTTTGGGTTAAATGCTTCATTATTATTGCTCAAGCCCAGTTGCTTTTCAGTTGAAATGCATTTTAACATATGTGGGGTACTTCTTAACGAGGTTGGGGGGAGTGTAGTCTATTATTACTGCATGGTTATGGGTGCTGTAGAAACACGTGGTATTGTTTACATTACAGCAGTGCCCGCCTTCTGTGTGTAAACTACGTCATACGTGACGTCATCAGTGTTTTGGGATCACGTCATCGCCAGTAATGATTGATTGAATCGCCCATACACGTCTTTGTTGTCGTTTGCTATTTGTTATGGGATGTTTTCTTGATTAATATGTCGGTTTCCAAACATCAGCCGGTACATTTGTATTGCAGATGCCATCCAGTTTATCCTATCGGGTTGCGCCTGTTCTTGAAAGTGTAGCTTATATCAATGACAACATGACAATTATATATATAATTTTTATAATTTATTTCGTTGAATTATGTGCCATGTTGTTTTATATACTACATACACAAGGACACTAGTAAACTTTCCAAACCAAGTCGGTGTCTGTGATTCTGCTGAAACCCGTCACAGTAATTAGTACCTCTAATTCTACCTGTAGCTAGTGCCAGGTATACTCCGCAAGTGCCAGGTATACTCTAGTGTCATAGTGTTAAACGTAAAAAGGTGATGGAGTATACAATTATAAAAGATCGACAGTATTGAATGTCTTTTAAAACTTAAGTATATTAAATCTGTACCCACAGCATATTTCAAAATGAAATCTTAAATATATATTATGATCAAACAATTGTGTACATCATTGCCATATCCTCCATACCTCTTATATTAACAACATGGCCACAATTATCTCTCAGTTACACATATTTCACACAATAAAAATAAAATTTATCATATCTTGACCTAAGCTCAGTTCTCTGACACATATATGTTCGATGATACAATAACTTAAAATTATTTTAAATGTTACTTTAAGTCAAAAGATATTTCAAATCATAAAATAATATCCAATAAATTCAATATGATTACAGTTTACCAACATCGTGGTTTAATGTTTCAAACAGACCTAAAAATAAAAACAACAACCTTACAATTCCCACTTGTCAACAAATGGAACCATTTGCAATGAAAACTCGTGCTAGTGTGTAGCCCCGCCCAGGTGGTTGTTGCGCGACCTGTAGCCGTGCGGCAGCGTGTAGACGGAGAAGGTGAAGGCTGGGGTGAAGGACAGTGCCGAGATACTGCGGTCCACGTGGGGGCGCTTAAGCTTCCGATTGTGCCGAAAACTCCCTTTAACAAAGTTGCTGGCGAAGAAGTCGGTCAGTTGCTGTATGGGGGGAGACTTCTTTCGGTGCTGAGGAAACATCAGAAAATAAGCTTCTTAGGATTATGGGATATTTCGAAACAATATGATACCATGTAAATATTGTTGAGACAGATGTTTGTTTGTTTGTTGTTTAACGCCGCACTGGGCAATATTCCAACTGGATGACGGCGCCCGTAAATAATCGAGTCTAGACCAGACAATATAGTGATTAATATCATGAGCATCAATCCACGCAATTGGGATACGATGACATCACAATTGTTGCCATACCTCTATGACGTCATGCAATCCAACAAAATTGACTTACCTTCGTATGTGGTATGCGAAATATATAATACAAATAATCCCAATTATTTAGAACGTTTATTTCGATCCACGCATGACCTTTGACCTTCACAATTTCGACATCTCCACGACAGCCATCTTGGAATGCTATTTGCATCAATTGCTCGGACAATTTGATGTACAGTCATTGTGTCAGTTGACTTAAAAACACATATAATGTTTCCGGTGTATTGTTGGTCGTTATGGCCCCCTTTCGCTACGACCACGAATATCCCGAATCACCCTGAATCGGAAACTTTCGAAATTCGTAACCCATTCAACCCGATTAGACACGAAAGTTTGCATTATTGGCCGAATCATCACGAAACATGCACGGATCACGCACGAAATGTAAGAATCATTTACGACTAAGTCGTAACTATGCCGAAAGTCGTAACTATGCCGAAAGTCGTTCTTACTTAATTCTTACATGATTCGTTGTTGACCTGGGGGGGGGGGGGTGTTCCGGGTAGTGCTGGTCGTAAGAGGCGAATTGATCGGGTGGTCAGACTCGGTGACTTTGTTAATTGCATGTCATCGGATCTCAGCGGCGTGGTTCAAATGTTCATGGTTTCAATTGTCTGGTCCAGACTCGATTATTTAGAGACCGCCGTCAAAGAGTGCGTCACACACAATCAGATTACTGGGCAACCATGAAAACCAAAAGATGAAACTGGTTGGACACAACGCCTGTAGATGTCTTTTCCTCCACGGACACATAGGAGCGGTCAGGTAGCCTAGTGGTTAGAGCGTTCGCTCGTCACGCAGATAACCGGGTTCGATTCCCGACGTGAGTACAATGTGTAAAGTCCATTTCTGGTGTCCCTGGCCGTGATATTGCTGGAATATTGCTAAAAGCGGCGTAAAACTATACTCTCTCACTCACTCACGGGCACATAACCAAGCCAATAGATTCAGTACACTTACTCCCTTGGTGGTAGATTCATAGTTGGGGAGTGTGGAGAGAAGGTCCTTGAGGGTGAATGGTGGCTCCTCCTCAGCGTCGCTCTCCCTAGCTGTCACGTACTCTCTCCGCACCCCGTAAACCGAAGACCCTGAAACAGCAACCACGTACATCATAAGCGGATTCGGGTACACTCTGGTCCCCCTCGTGATATTTTGATAAGTTGGTTTACTCACTGGTGGTCGAAATGTGTTTTAAAAACAACACGTGACCCCTTACTATAAAAAAAATCGTTTGGAGGAATGACGATTCTCAGGGCATCCTCGACCAGCCAGTATATTATTTCTCCATTCAATCATTTTACGTGTGTAATCGGATTAAGTGAATTGGGTTTAACGCCGCTTGGAACAGTATTCCAGTTATACCACAGCGTGACGGCTTTATGTAGGAGGAAAGCCCGAAGTGAAGCAGGTCTTAGATGTTTACCACTTTGGTGAAACCCACGAATTGGATTAAATTGTAATGCACTACAAACATCCATTTACACACGTTCGTGCACGTCGCAATATGAGTAAATAATTCATCATCTATGCCGAGCTCGTTAAAACAGATATTTTACCTGATCCGATACTTCTCCTTGTGAAGATCTGAGGTCGTGTTAAGAGGTAAAAATGCATTCCAAAACCCTCAGAAAATGCATACAAAATAAAGATCCAAAACGGTGATAGCTTATCGATCATCGAAGCTTATCGGGAAGGTATCCGCCATTTTGGACCTTCAGCTTGTATGAATTGTCTAAGGTTTTTGGACTGCATGTTAACCTAGCATCAGGTTAATGATTTAATGGGCGTCGAGGCTCCCAAAGTTCTCGGTTGGAGTGAATCATTCAGACAAGCACATCTGATTTTTGTATCTCAAAAACGAATTTAAAACGTACAGTACGAACCGGCCATTATATCGTTATGGAAACATCGAAACATCCTGTCGTTTCTAAACGCCATGATGTCTACACTCACATGGTAGTTCATTGTAAGAAATATCAGCGTCATTATAGGGCATGGCAGGAATGTTTCGATTACCGTATCCCCCGTTACTCGTTTAATATCAGGTTGTTGTTTTTCTGTATGTCACAACCGGGGCAACGGATCGTCCCGTCAGGATGGTTTGCCAATGTACTTTGTAGCACTTCTACATCTCAGATTGGCTACAAATCATAAAATATTTTTAAAATATACATATCAGTCTCTTACTTAATGACTACGTATAACATGTGATAGTTTTGTGAGCTATGGATCGTCCCGAACGAAAGGTCTGCCATTCTTGAGGATTCCAGGTCGAAAATATAAACCGCTACGGGTTTTGGAAAAAAGAAATGGCGATTTTCGTTTTCGATCTGGAATCAATATTCAAAGTTGGAGACATTTCTAACGGGACAGGGAGCCCAGTTGACTGAGGCGCCGCAATTCGCTGTGCAGAGTTGCGTCCCTTGGGCATGCCAGAAACCTATGATTGTGGGTTCGAATCCCAGTTGGCCCCGATTATGTTTCTAGGTTTGTCAGCACCATAATTGTGCTCGTGGGTTTCACCGAAGTGGTAATCGTCTAAGACCTGCATCACTTCGGGCTTTCCTCCCACATTAAGCTCACATGCCGCGATATAACTGGAATACTGTTAAAGTGAGTGAGTTTATACTTTACATCACATCAGCAATATTTCAGCCATATCGTGACGAGTATAAAAGCGGCATCAAAACTCGACTCACTCACTTACAGATGACCCAGGCGTCTGTGGCGCTGCAATTTGCTGTGCAGAGTTGTGTCCCTTGGGCACCCCAGAAACATATGATTGTGGTTCGAATCCTGGTTCGCCCCGATTATGTTTCTAGGCCTGAATCACTTCGAGCTTTCCTCCAAATTGAGCTGACACACTGTGACATAGCTAGAATAAAAGGTGGCACTAATTCAACTCACTCACTCATAACATCTGGCCTTGATCGATTCTTACTGACAAGTGCTCTTGGGTTTCACCGAAGTGGTAAACGTCTAAGACCTGCAGCACTTCAGGCTTTCCTCCCACTTAAAGCTGACACGCCGCGATATAAATGGAACACTGTTGAAAGCGGCATTAAACACAACTCACTCACTCACTTTAACGGGACAATCTGTACTCCCCAGTAGAGACTATAGAAACAGTGATATTAAACGATGAACAAATGAAGAGACTGGGTAACTGTAGCTAGAATACTACAGTAAACTACGGTCATAACAAACTCAAAGGGACTACTAATTTTAGTTCGTTATAACCGTAGTTCGTTATATGTACATATACAGCATGACTACAGCAAGTAGACGGGACCAAAAAGTAAGTTCTTTATATCCGTCAGTTCGTTATAAGCGTGTTCGTTATAACCGTAGTTTACTGTACAGTGCACGCTCTCACACATACGTCTATTTGCATGCTTCTTCTCAGTAGAACCATGCTTCTTGTGACCACGGACTACCGTACAGAAACTCTCCTCACGCGAAGCTTTGGTATGCCTGGGGATGGCCGACTTGTGCTTGCTGCTTGCCCTGGAGACCCGGGGAAGGGGGATCGGACTCTGTGGGGGTGAGGATATGACGCACTTCTCGGCTGACAGCTTCAGGTCCGCGTTACTGGAAACAATCGAAAAATGTAAAGAGACATGTGTTTGATGTTGTTGCATGTGGCAGGAACCCCATGGTGATTCCGGCGCAGAATGGGTCACTAATAGCTTCTTTTTTCTTTTCTTTTTGTAAGAGTCGATTTATAGAGAACGGGTGTTTTGGAACCGAGTTTGGCTGATTAGGAGTCATGCCCCGGCCGTTATTTTGCGTTCAGTGGTTGCCAACGTGTTATTGCAGTAATATTGCTGATTGTGGCGTTAAACAACATTCACTCACACTTTCATTCTCTTGGGTATTATGGGTACAAAGTGTGAAGCCCATTTCTGGTGTTTTCCCGCCGTGATATTGCAGGAATATTGCTATAAAAGCGGCCTAAAATCATACTCACTCTTGAGTGAGTGAGTGAGTGAGAATGGTTTTACGCCGCTTTTAGCAATATTCCAGCCATATCACGGCGGGGGACACCTGAAATGGGCTTTACACATTGTACCCATGTCGGGGATCGAACCCGGATCTTCTGCGTGACGAGCGAACGCGTTTAACCACTAGGCTACCCGACCGCCCCTACTCACTCTTGTGTATGACAGGGTTGCGGAGATTTAATTTCTTAGTGGTTTTACATGGTTTTAGTCCATCTCATTCATCAGGCCCTTGTTAAACAACTACTGTTTGCTTGTTTGTTTGTTATTAACACCCCACTTCACAACTATATAACCGCGGCCTGTAAATAATCGAGTCTGGATCAGACAATCCAGTGATCGATATTGTGAACAACCACCCGATCAATCAAGTTGCCCATCCTGACCACCCAATCCACGCTGTTGCCTCTTACGACCAGCGTCGGTTGATGGGGAGCTATTCTAACCCGAAAACTCCATGAGGGTGATAGTCGCAGTGATAAGATCGCTTTGTCCCACATAACAATCTTATCGCTAATGCTGTCCCTTTTATCAATTGTGTTCGGGGGGCACGGGTGGCCCAGACGTCTAAGGCGCCGCGATTCGCTGTGCAGAGTTGCGTCGCTTGGGCAGATTGTGGGTTCGAATCCCCGTTCGCCCCGATTATGTTTCTAGGTTTGTCAGCACCATACCCGTGCTCGTGGGTTTCACCGAAGTGGTAAACGTCTGAGACCTGCATCACTTCGGGCTTTCCTCCCACATTAAGCTGACACGCCGCGATATAACTGGAATACTGTTAAAAGTGGCGTTAAACCCAACTCACTCACTCACTCAATTGTGTTCACACAGAACTGCTCTAGTCTTTGCTTTATGGCTGTTTTTTTCCGAACGGGGACCTGGAAGAGTGTTATCTTCAGGTTGTTACATATAATGGTACATGTGACTCAGTCGACTCACTTTACAGATCAAAGTCTTGGCGTAAGCGCACACCTTGGGAGACGGGTACTGTGCTGCAGGGTTGCGCTATCAACCAGGGGTTCACTTTCGAGGACTCGATTATTTACAGATCACCGTGATAAAGCGGACTGCAACCGTATGAGTGTGAGATTGGTTTAACACAATTTCATTAAAACCAGTTCTTAGTTCTCGCTACCGCTAAACAAAGATCTGAGGACATCCCATTACGGGTCACGTCAGACCGACCTTGCGCGAACTTTGACCGACCAATGGAATGACCAATCAGAAGACAGCTTTCTCGTGCTTTACGGCACTAATTGCAAATTGGCGACTACGCTTCGTAAATGTTTTGACAAATTCTCGATTTAAAATTTGAAACCTGAACAAAAGAACATTGTGGAATTGCTAATAGATAGTCCAGATGGATTCAGTCCAGTATGGATTCAGTCGTTAAACCCGTAACTGTCGTTCGGAATACCCCGTGTTAAATATTTCGAGGTTGCATGATTAGAAATCACATTCCGACTGTCACTTTCATGATCTGGTAAGCGACGGTCTGATTGGTTGGATGAAAGGTCGTTCTTACGTGACCCCCAATGGCATGTCCTCAGATCTTTGTTTAGCGGTAGCGAGAACTAAGGTATGATTTTAATGAGATTGGGTTTAGCACCGCTTTCAACAGTATTTCACGGCGTGTCAGCTTTATGAGGGAGGAAAGCCCGAAGTGATCCTGGTTTCTGACATTTATCAAGTGCACTTAATCAAGGAACACCCTTTATCTGATCACCTTCTACAGCAAGAGTGTGATGAAACCCAATCTCATTAAAATCAGATCTAAGTTCTCGCTGCCGCTAAACAAAGATCTGAGGACATCCCATTACGGGTCACGTCAAACGACCTTTCGTGAACTTTGACCGACCACTGAAATGACTAACAAGATGTCGACATCAGCCAATTGGAAAGCAGCTTTCTCGAGCTTTACGACACTCGTTTCCGTCTGGCGACTTCCATTTGAGATATGCTTGAAACATATGTTCTCGATTAAAAATGTTTAAAACTGAACAAACGAACATTCCGGAATGTCTAATATATGGTTGAGATTATATGGCAGTGCTTCCCACGTATTGTGCAATGCCTCTCCCGTTCAAATGTTTCTCCCATGGAAGCGAGAGATAGAGGATGGTTTTGACGGAATCAGTCGTACGGGCCGTAACTGTCGTTCGGAATACCCCGTATTAACGTTTACGAGGATGCATGATTAGAAAACACATTTGGACTGTCACTTTCATGATCTGGTAAGCGACGCTTTGATTGGTCGGATAAAACGTCGTTCTGACGTGACCCGTAATGGGATGTCCTCAGATCTCTGTTTAGCGACAGCGAGAACTAAGATCTGGGATTTTAATGAGATTGGATGAAACCGGAAGTACCTGTTCTGCTGTAGAATGCCCCTCTTTATCCAGCCAAGCCGCTGCTGCATCTTGTTGAGACAGGAAGTGTTGCTAGTGATACGTGAGATGTTGCCCGAGCTGCGCGCCAACCGTTCCCTCTGGGTTTTCAGGAGGGGGAGTCGAGCGCCTGTACGCGGCAGAGCCTGCATGGGATCGATCGTACTCATCTCTGAAAAAAAAGCAGCGTGTTAGTCACCTCGGGCCTATAATGTATGTTTTTCACAGATGAGAACGAGGCTGTTGCCAAATCAAAGAAACCATTTTTCCACTACTGAGCGATTTTAATTAATTTATAATATTTTAATTAAATGGGTCGAAATGTCTGGTTTAGCCCAGTGGTTAAAGCGTTGCGCCAAAATATCCGGGTTCTGCTCCATACTCCTATTGGGTACGATATGCGAAGTCTCATCGTGGTGTCCGTGTCGTGTTACAGCTGCAATAGATTTAGCATCGGTGTGAAAACACACTCATTCTTTTGTGGGAATCTAAATTTATCTTACTCGGCTTAGTTTTTTCTTAACCACTTTCAATTTTCATAGGGAATATCAGGAACAACGGCATCGGGTTATCACCACGCTATCAACCATGTAAATCGCCCCGAGTCTGACCACCGGTCCAACCAAGTGCCTTCAGCAAAGGTTGCTGGGAACCAAATGTCTAATCCGGAATCGGGTGAAATGCAACTAATGGGACTATAACAGGTGCAAATGAGCCATTTATAGACTTACATGAATAGAGATAGATACAGTAAAGGGAAATTCAAATCATTCCCTATATATCCAGGGCTCGCATTCCTGGACCTATTCCCGTGATTCCTTCGATCGCAAAGTACCCGAACATTTTACCGACCAATCAAACGTCGACATAAGGGTCGGGGAACAAGCTCCTCACAGCGATAGCCCGTTCGCGGAGTTCTCTATACTATAGGCTACCGAGAGTGTAACGAAGGTGTCACGCGCTGGGAAGGAGCTTGGTCGGGAAAAGTGTAAGGGAGGTAACTCGTATTATATAGGAACCAAGGCAATTGACAGTTTTTAGGGACATCCTTTCTATCAAAGAGATTTTTTAGGGGTTTCTTTTTCGTGTCACACGGTTATTCAATGTTGAATTTCTCGCAAATTCGATCATAATCAATGAGACTGGCAAACCCAACATTGAGGCTGGTGTGTAACTCGCATTCTGATTGGAACGTTAGACCTTGTAGCGTAGCCAATCAAATTGGCAAACAGAAATCAAGGGCGGGTAATTTTAGTTTGCGAGAACCACGGGGATGTATCCAGAGGCTGGTGTAGGTTTACCGGAATGCAAGCCCTGGAGATATAGAAGATGAATTCAAATGTGTTCCAATGCCATTCTCAAACCTTGTTCAAAAGTCGGTCCCCTGAGACTCAGGGACAGTAGACTCTTCTGTGTGCGAGGGTAGTTTTTGGACGGGATGGAAGCTACCCTACTGCGTGCCCTATCCTGCTCGATGATCGGCTCTTGACGTCTGTGTTCCAATTCTGGACTGCTAGGCTCCTTGGTGGGAGACGGACACAGGTCGTCTATGTTCACAAAGGTCACAGGTGAGGGGATGATGAAACTGTCCTTGGAACGAGGTTCGGGTCCACAGGATCCACTGGACCGAGAGGTCAGGCTGCTCTTGCTGGAATCCGTACACGCTTCCGTACTTTCCGGAAGTTGGGTCTCCTCGGCTGAGGTCAAGTCGGACCGGTCAACAACAGGGTGAAACCGAAGCTGGGCGCTTGCGTCCAATGCCTCCTGAGGATTGGTGTCATCTGTGGACTGCTGCATGTTATTTCTCCCTCGGGACCTAGCCCCGTCCCGCCTGTAGTGCTTTCCTTTCTTTAACTCTCTACCATTGATCTCTTCCTCTGCCACTGCTGTGCTCTCGTTTGACGTGCTTGTAGATGTCTTACCGTCGTAGGTGTGTACCTTGACGGCAACTCTTTTACGTTTCTTTGGCTTCCGTCTCTTCCATCTGTTGTAACGCTTGTCCACAATGGGCGCATAGCAGAAATATTTACCCAAAGGCTGCCGGAGTTCTGAAACATAAGACAGTTTTGAAATTCATTTTCACATTGTTACCTAGATACAGACGAAACAGATTTTAACGGCATTTTATATGCATATAGGTCTCGAACCGCGGACTATATATATTGGATGTTTCTTCAGATCTACTTTTTGTGTTTTTTTAACGGTTAATATATCAAAATATATTCATGGGTTTGAAAAACCGGCATTGTTAATTGTCATTAAGCAATAAAAAAAATAACTAAAAAATTACCAAGATGAATTGTCAAGGGTGGCCCAGTCGTCTAAGGCGCCGCGATTAGCTGTGCAGAGTTGCGTCCCTTAGGCACACCAGAAACCTATGATTGTGGGTTCGAATCCCGGTTCGCCCCGATTATGTTTCAAGGTTTGTCAGCACCATACCCGTGCTCGTGGGTTTCACCGAAGTGGTAAACGTCTTAGACCTGCATCACTTGGGGCTTTCCTCCCACATTAAGTTTACACGCCGTGATATGACTGGAATACTGTTAATAGCGGCGTAAATTAACCCCAACTCACACACGCACTCACAAATCGCCTTGATGTAGCTGTAATAGCACGGAGTAAAACATCGACACATTCAATTGTTTGTACATACCAGGATATGGCTGTTCGGTGTGTTTGCTGTTCATTTCTTGACGCATTTTGAGGAGAAACTGGGAATGAGGATTTTGCAACATATTATCAGGATCCTCGTCCTCCGCCTCCCCATCCTCCTCCTCGTCTTCTTCCTCCTCATCTTCAATGTCCAGCTGTTGCTCCTGTTGATGATCTGATACCCCCAACGTCCGGTTGTCATCCAGACTTGCACCATCTCCTGTCGACTCACCACCAGAGTTGTCGTGCACCCCGGGGACACTATGCTGCCAATGGTGATGCGGAAGGAACCCGTCTTCGTCGTAACTATGCTGGAGGTACTGAAAGTTGATAGGACTGACGGCCTCTTTCCGTTGTCCTTGTGACGACTTCTTTCCTCTTCCCTGTAAAGTCGAGTATCTATCTACAGCAGACGTGTTGCAGTCGATCTGGCTGAATGACCCTTGCTTTGTGGACCCTCCATAATTGTCACTACCAAGTGAGTCATAGCATTCGCTAGCAGACACATCATAGAAGTCGCTTGGGAATGCCCTTTGATAGCCCTCACTGACAACAGAGGACCTGCTTAAGCACCAGGAAGGCGTGCTGGCCAAACTTAAGCATCTTTGATCCTGGTCCTCGGGATAATCCTCAAGCTTCTCCTCCTGACCACACTCATCTTCCTCGCCCAAGATGTGATTCCAATGACTCCTCTTCTGGGTGGGTGTTAATGAATAATCCATATGGACTACGTTCATCCCATCGGTTTCCTCATAACATTTCCTCCCATCAACATTAGTCTCACTGTGCAGTTCATAGTAGGCATCCTCTGGGGTGTTATTGTGTAGCCTCATCGTGATCCCAAAGGCTGATGATCTTCCTCTGGCATGTCCTTCTCTTGAGTATACAGACAACCTGGAAATCTTGTCACTTTGGGATGTCACAGATGTGGTTTCACGGGCTCCGTTCTCAGAAAGCTGACTGTTCACTCGTGCGATCTCGTTCTTCATATCAGCACTGTGGCCCCACAGGTCCCCATACGTCATGAAGTTCACTCCCAATTGTGTATCTGTTGACATGCAGGAAGTAAAATAAATAAATCAATAAATCAATAAATCAATAAATAAATCAATCAATCAATCTCTGGCTATTGGACATATATATTTTTTAAACTGAAGAAAAAAATTAGAAGTTGTCTAATTATAACGGTTTATCGATTCATAAATTGTTTTCATTTCCCTTTACCGGATTTATATGCCCTGCAAGGAGTGAGTTGTTCCTTCTCCATCTTAGAATTACACGACCCCTTTCCATGGCAGCCACGAAAACCCTCCAGGTCCTCCCTGGTCAGCTGACCGTTGATGATTGAGATGGACCGACTGTTGTCCCCTCGCCATGGCCCGGAGATGGTGTCGGGTGTCTGTGTAATGGGGCGGGTGTCTGGTGTCTTCACCTGGATCTCTGGCTCGGGACTGAGATACTGGTTGCTCCAATACCGCGGGAACAACGCCCAGGAAATGTCGCCTGGTGGAAGAGAAGACAATGTCATGGTCTCTCTATCCATTGTAGGATGAAGTTGTTGTAAGCATACAATGAAGGCAAATGAACCTGAAATGAAGCCACTCAGCATATTCCCGACAGAATGTCGGCATTGACTATGGCATGCATTTTGTAGCTTTTAAGTTCATGGGGCTATGTTTTACTCGTAATAAAAGTACTATCTAGGAATGTATAGAAACATGGATAACCTTTGAAGGGAAATAATGTACCATGACAAATACATCAAACCGTTCATGACGAAAAAAGCTCATATCAAATGGCATCTTGTCTTTGCTTATCTTGCAAGTTTTTGAATAGATCAAGCACAACAAAAAACTGATAATAATTAACGAATATTCCTTTATCTCCAAACAGCAGGATATCAGTTTCAAACTGAGTTATGAACAATTAAAATAAGGGGGGATTTACAATGCATCCTTGCCTTACACCACTGAAATAGTTGCAATAATTCAAAATATTCTACTTTGATAATTTCTGAAGCTTAAGTTTGGAATAAGTATTTTTCATAACAGCAAATATTTGCACATCAACTGCAAATGAATGTAGAACAAACCAAAGAAGATCTTTATTAACAAAATCGATAGCTTTGGGGAGGTCGACAAACATACAGTTAAAACGTTTGTGAAAACACATCTGAAACTATAACTTTCTAAAAGAGGCACTCGGGGCTCTATTGGTGTGCTGGTGTTGTGGAATAGAAAGGTCCTTATAATACCTTGTCCTTTGTCCTTAATGTTACCTTTGGAGTAGCTCGGTAGCTTCGTTGTCCTTCGTAGTCGGGATGAGACGAGTATTGACTTCAGCCACTGGTGGTTGTCGTGTGCCGACATCCGGTGCTCGCAGCGGAAACAGTCGAAAGACGTGTTCACTACTCGCCCAGGCTTGTAATCCTGTATAAAAGTTCCACATATTAGATTTCAACGCTGACCAGGAGACCAGTGAGTGAGTGAGTTGGATTTAACGCCGCTTTTATCAGTATTCCAGTCATATCACGGCGTGTCAGCTTAATGTGGGAGGAAACCCCGAAGTGATGCAGGTCTCAGACGTTTACCACTTCGGTGAAACCCACAAGCATGGGTATAGTGCTGACAAACCTAGAAACATAATCGGGGCGAACGGGGATTCGAACCCACAATCATAGGTTACTGGTATGCCTGAGGGACGCAACTCTGCACAGCTAATCGCGGCGCCTTAGACCACTTGGCCACCCGTGGGCCCCTCCATGAGATTGAAACTGTCACATATATACTGTATGTTTCCATTCAATTTTGAAACAATAATGCAAAGAGAATATTTAAATGTCTTGATTGGCATACGAAAGGTGAAGCAAACACAAATAGTTGCATATTAGGCAAGGAGTTCTTCAAAGTTTGGCATCAAGGACTGAAAACCGACGGAAGTACATACGTGTGTACTAAAAGTCATGCTGTATATTCGTTGCCCATCAAAGCAATCAACAATCGTACCTTGCCACTAGCACAGGGAGGTTCGGTGGGGAAGGGAAGGCGAAGTCCACCCACATTCAGGGTCTTTGTGGGCAGGAGTGTGAGATTGTAGCGGTGGGGCATGTTCCTATTGCGACTCTGCTGCACGGCGGACCTTGTCTTTGAGGGCAGGTGCACATCGGGAAGACGGACCTGGTACAGAAGGCGGCATGAAGGCGGGTATAGAACTCAACACCAAACTGGCTGGCCGGAACAGTGACTTTTTCACAGTTAGCCTTGTAGCAACCAATTAAAGTAAGCTACACTGATGACAACTACCAGACAGACGAGATACAAGACTACACATCCGGCTATTTACTGAATGCGACCAGGTAACTATTTTGAAACACGAAGCAGCACGAAAAATATAACCAGTCGAAAATGAAATAATTAATACGTAATTTAATAGCCAGATGAAATATAAGCTGGAATTTTTATATTTAATTGTCGTACCAATTAAAGTTATTTTCAAACCTTGTCGGTCATTTAGCCATGTAGGGATTCCAACCCGTCGTCCGTGGCAACTAACACAGTCTGAATCCCCCCCCCCCCCCCCCCCCCCCCTCTCTCTCCCATTTTATACAACACTCTTTCGCTTTGCCATTTGTTCATGACACCCCTCAATCTCAGAGCTTTGAAACCAATGTTCATCACGTAACGATAAGTGTGTAACACCACAGTAACTCACATCATGATAGTCGACGACGTTGCTCTCGCTGGCGGCGGGGTTCCTGCCGGTGACGCTGAGGGGGTGCATACTGTCATCCCCCTCCCACTCACTTTCTGCACTTGACCCCCAGTCATAGCACTCCGAATTATCACGGAACATAGTGATCGGGATCTGAAGTGTTTTCAATCACACTATCGCCAATATATAGTATTCAGTCGTTTCAGTAGTTTGTCAAAGAAGAGCACGAGGGCCCATGAGACATCGCCACTCTATCGAATTCACCGAGCTGATCCAATCTTAACTTCACATTTTCCAATGTTCAAAATATGCATTCAAAAAGGGTTGAAGTTTGAAAGGCTCTATTGAAAAATATGTCGGTAAGTATGCATGAGTTTGAAAAGTCCCAATGATGTTATAATTGTTAATAAAAGCATGCATTCACACATGTAATAACACTGAACACATGGTTATGACATATAAATTGTGCGACCTATCCGTTAATCACTTGTAGCGTGATACTTAGATAAAACACCCTTTTATCACGAAGGCTACACAACGCGTTATTTTCTATTAAAGTTCGGACCAATTTGTGGGCTGTCGCACCGCCCCTATTCAGGATCATGGGATAGAGTAATCTCCCTTTGAATGTGTAGACGTTTTCCCTTGTAACCGCCCAGAAGGTCTTGTATACCAACAGTGAGTCTGCCAACCCCGTGTTGGTACGCGGGGGTCTATTAAGAGGGTGTTCGGAACTCGCTAGTGTGGTACGGGGGACGCAAATGAAATTGTAATTGGTGCTCAGATTAGGCATTTTAAAGAAGTAATTGATGATGTACGTTAAAGTTTTCTTTATAATATCATATTAAAAAATATTTTTTTAAGTAGTTTAATTTCAAATCGCACCCTTTCCTCATTGCTTTTGAGATTTGTGTTAAGTTGTAATTGTGGTTCAGGGGCAAGACTCAGATTGAAAATTAGATGGTATTCGGGATTCACGGGAGGGTGGGGTTGGCACCCTTAATAGTTGGAAAGAATTGCCTGTTGAAGTAGAATTGATTAATATCAATATTGGCTAAAGCTGCGACTTACCTCCTCTGGCCGTGCTGTAGGCGAGGGGGTCCTGGGGGTAGCTGGCGGGTTGAGGCCCCTATCGTGCGGGCGCGGCTTTCTCTGGAGGATGCATGTCCCTTGAAGGTTGCTGGGAGGGGACAAGGGCTTTTCCCGAACCCAAGGGTCACGTAGGCTCGGCTTTCGACATAGGCTCGGCTTTCGACACGCGAATCCCTTTCAGAAAAGGTTTAGATGTGAATTGCTTCACACATTTATTTTAATATACGTCGCTTTTAGCTATTCACTTTAAGTAGTAGTAGTAGTAGTAGTAGTAGTGATCTATAATCATGATGAATGAAGGCCTCCGGCCCGTGTTCATACAGGTGGCCAGTCAGCATATAATATATGTAAAAATATATATTAGCAGTCAACATGCATCTTTCTGAAGCAATTTTCATGATAAATATACATAATACTTAAGTAGTAGTAGTAGTAGTAAGTAGTAGAAGTAGTAGTAGTAGTAACGAGTTAGCTTTAAGTCCGCTTTTAGTCCGCTTTTAATTTTATATGATATCATAAGGGGTACTGTCAATCTATCATGATCTATACACATGAATTTGTAACTCTACACAGAGATGATAAAATAAAAGGATGGCGCTAAGGCTTGTACTGCGCAGCCTGGCCGGAAGCTGGCGGAAATGAGTTCACTGCACTTACCATTGGCACCTTTTTTTCCTTGCAAAGGACATATTACAAAATATATATTTACACTCATGTATTTCTAAACATTGAGTGAGTGAGTGTGGTTTTACGCCGCTTTTAGCTATATTCCTGAAATATCACTGCGTTGGACACCAGAAATGGGCTTCACTCATAGTTGATTGTTTTTTAACGCCGCACTCAGCAATATTCCTGCTATATGACGGCGGTCTGTAAAAAATCGAGTCTGGACCAGACAATCCAGTGATTGTCATCATGAGCATCGCAATTGGAATCATCCACGCAATTGGGATACGATGACATGCATCAACCAGGTCAGCGTGCCTGACCACCCGATCCCGTTAGTCGCCTCTTACGACAAGCATAGTCGCCCTTTACGGCAAGCATGGGTTGCTGAAGACCTATTCTATCCCAGATCTTTACGGGTCTTCACTCATATTATCTATGTAGTAGTAATAATAGTAGTAGTAGTAGTAGTAGTAGTAGTAGTAGTAGTAGTAGTAGTAGTAGTAGTAGTAGAAGTCAGACTCGATGACTTGGTTGATGCATGTCATCGTATCCCAATTGCGGAGGTCGATGTTCATGATATCAGTCACTGGATTGTCTGGTCCAGACTCGATTATGTACAGACCGCCGTCACATAGCTGGAATATTGCTGAGTGCGGCGTTAAATATCAAACAAACAAACAAAACATATCTTCTTGCTAAATCTACAATGTTTACGTCCCCTACGAAAACAAAATTTCCTAACGCTGAACAGATAACAGGAATTATTGCATGATTGTTTATGTTAGTGTCAACTTGAAGGGGACTACGTGGCTCAGACCAACTGTCATTTCCAGACTCAATTATTTACAGACCGCCGTCATATAGCTATTAAACAGCAAACAAACAAAACGTATCAGAAATGAGATTGATGCATGTACAAACGCCAGGACTGGTGACAAACGTCATGACGCATGGCGATATACCACCGGAAAATCAAACATGACTTGGTGTTAATGAATTTGCAATGATTGCACATGAGCCGAATGAAGAATTATATAGATAATTCAAGAGTCGAAATGAGGTTTTGTTAAAACAAAATCTTATCCCGAAATAAAAAGCATTTCATAGAAATAGGTCCAGTTACTGGCAATTAATTATTTAGTTGAATTGACAACGAGATTCTGTCAATTCAGTTCACCTTTTACATCCCTCTATATCTATTTCGTGGTATCTGTTTTGTTTCGGCTTTGTATAAACATTACAAAAATAATGACAGCAGCTATGTCATGGATTCAGAATAAATAGGAATTCACGTCTTCGATGCATCTCATTTTCGACTTCAGGAGTATAAGTAAAGAAAGCTTATTCTTGATGTACAGTAAACTACGGTTATAACGAACTCAAAGGGACTACTAATTTTAGTTCGTTATAAGCAGATATACAGCATAACTACAGCATATAGTCGGGACTAAAAAGTTTGTTCGTTATATCCGTTAGTTCGTTATAAACGTGTTCGTTATAACCGTAGTTTACTGTATATTGAAATTTAACCACCAAGGTTAATAATTTCATGCAGCCCAGTTCGCTTAACAGAATAATTTCAATGTTAAATCCTCTTTTTTTTCATTACTTTGTACCTTAGATACCCTGGTCCTGACATACAGTGGGTTCTGGTAGCTCCCCACACTCCGGGGGGAGGGGGCCTCCTCCATCACGGAGACTGGAGTGGGGCACGCTGCCCTCATGATCTCGGTGTATGACTGTCAGTCAGTGGGGGGCACATTGTCCAGGCCCTGCGAGTTTTCCTGGTAGGCAAAGCCATAACCTGCTTCACCCATGTAGGGTAAAGGCTTTGGGAGCTGATTGTGACGTCACTCGACATTGTGACGTATTTCCCTTATGTAATGATGTCAGAGGTGATTGTGGACATCAATGTAATCAGGTGCCGTTGTACTGAGCGATCTTACCACTAAAGTGATCGTAATTCCCATACCTTACACAGACCTCCGACAGACGTAGAGCTAAGATTGTTTTGTACAACGGCACCCTGTTCGTGATTTCTCATTCGTCACCGCTCGCCACGTTCCGTAACCTGCAATAGGCTTGTCCCGGAATAACACGAGTTCGTCGTGTTTTCTTTGTGAAATTACGTTGCTTGAAGAAGTTAGAAAATAGAGAAGATAACACTTTATTGTCCCGAAGGAAATTTGTGCTACATCTGCACGAGATTTTATAAAATTATTAAACATATAAATAATAATATTCAAAATTATAATATTTTTTTCAATGAATTATAAAAACATATATGTACATTTCAAGTTTCAAGTTCAAGGTGTATTTTTTCCCAATGGTGAGATAATAATAGAATTATTAAATGATATTATAAAAATTGCTCCAGTCCAGAGAATATCGGCTCGACAGCAAATGAATGTTGAAAACCCTGCCTGTATTGTTGTATATCAACCTCACACTACATGTCTGCCCTATTTTTATCGATAATCTTTATAAGTCCTATAGATAAAAGAATACCCGATTGATCAGACTATATATGGTATTAACAAACTTAAATTATATATGTGTATAAGTACATCAACCAAACGAAATTGAGATTTTAACTAGTTTTCTTCAGCGGGGGTATTTCCAAGACTATCTAACAAAGCAGTGCCAGTGATTTTCTATTAAAGATGCTCAACTATAAAGTACATATTTTGTATGTTTGTTGTATTAACGCCGCATTCAGCGCTATATATATGATGGCGGCCTGTAAATAATCGAGTCTGTACCAGACTACCAGGCAATGATCGATATTGCGAGCAACGATCCACACACGCCACAACCAAGTCACCGAGCCTGACCACTCGATCTATTTAGACGCCTCTTACAACCAGCACAGGTTGCCGGGGACCTATTTAACCCGGAATCCCACGGAGACATAACATTTCTCATGGTAGGAGCTAGGCTTTTTCTTCAGAAGGTATTGTTTTAGTATTTGTGTTTTATCACATTAACCACTTCCGAATAATTATATTTGTGTTTTACTCATACTAGTATAGATCTAGGAGTCCTTCGGTAAAATTAGGGAAATATACAAATATTTCGATGATTTTTTGTATTATTTGCAAATATTTTCCCCATAATATATATCAGTTGAATATCTGGTTTATATTGCATTAGATTATACGTATAAATAGTATTATAGCGTCATCTCATGCGTCTGTCAAATTCCGGTAAACGTGTGTTCACAACATGTTGCGTGCTTCATGGTTACCTAACGATTTAAAGCGCATATAACTAGTTGCAGTCCAGTTTCAAGATTGAAATTGTCCTGTAATTGTTATGCACTGTGCCTGTTCGCGATATTAGTAGAAGTGTAATAAAATCAGTAAGAATTCAATCCAAGGGAAGCTACTCTAAAATATCGTAGCGCTTCACTCCCGGAAATCCAACAAGTCGAGGCAGAGCATCATGTTGCTAATGAAAACAATGATGAGCGTGAAGCTGACATAACGACGTAACAGAAGATTTTGTGAGTCAGATTCATAATTGATTGTCTCTGAATGTCCATCTTATCATTTTGGTTGTCATTTATACGGATTTTTTTGTGATCTGGATAAAACATGATCTGTGCCTGAGCTCTTTTCCAAGGGAGATAATTTGCTAACAGATTATTTTGTTTCATATCAAATGCCAATTTCTTTTATAGTGCAGAATTAACATCAAATAACATGCACTTAACTCTAGAACCAGCATCTGTCGTCAGGAGAACCTGTCAATGATTTCGACCTCGAAGCATACATGGGCGATAAAAAAATGTTTTTGTATACAGCAGAGACCATAACATAGACAGTTTGTCCCCAACAATTTATCATAAACCATCAGCGCTATGGCCTGGCATGTAACTGATACACCCCGACACCCTGCTGTTAACCTCCCTGTACCACTGCAGATGCGGAGACATCCACAACTGACCATTCTGGTAACCACGTTAACAATATCGGTCACAATATCACATATATCCGGAGGTCATTCCCTTAACCGAGATTTCTCCAACTACAGCCTGCGACAGTCCAATAAAAGGACAGCTCTTAGCGGATTACAAAGATCTTTGTCTTATCTCTTATTTGCACATGTCAGTTGACTGCAAATCATTTGTTGAAATTTGTTGTCTTCCGCCTAATACATGTACAGTAAACTATGTTTATAACAAACACTCTTATAACAAACTGACCGATATAACAAACTTATTTTTCAGTCCAGGTCATTTGTTGTATATATGCTGTTTATATGCTTATAACGAACTGCGGTTATTACAAACTAAAATTAGTGGTCCCTTTGAGTTCATTATAACCATAGTTTACCGTACTTATAACCCCAGGACATTTATTTAGATTTATGTAGCCCACGACGACTTCATTGCCTGGGTCGATTCCGTCTTGGACCTCGATTTGTCACTTGCATAATTCACAGATTACAACCAGAGGTGGCTTTCAAATGCCTCTTGGCCTGAAGAGAATTACACATCTTGTATCTGAATGAACATATTTTACAGAAAAATACAAATTGTTGTTAAATTTCTTCAAAAAGGGGGCCATGAGACTTCCTTCATTTTGAGGCAGCAGTAATCTAGACTTGCCAAATATCATAGACTTGCATTGGCTGTTTTGGATACATTTGTTTCAGGGTCTGTATGAAAGACTAAGAATGACAGTGATGTTTCCGCTACCAAGCTGTCGGTAAAATCTCCCAAAACGTTTCAAACAAAGAAAAAGATGGGAAAAGAAAATACGAATGCTGTCTACGGGTGTAGGTTTTCGAGGGCATGTGAAGAAAAAGCACATTTGATCTGATATCAAAAGTATTCTATAATTTATTTTATTTTAAAAAATTCAGTAAAGATATCTTATTTTATGTTACAATTGTATAACTATTTTCATTTAACAAAAGCTTCAAAAGCCACTGTGAATGCCACATAAAAATATGATCCGATAAATTGCACAGGAACTCAGGAAGTGTAAATATAACTCATCCAGATGCAAGCAAGACAGTTGTAACAGTTCACAATATTCACAGTTTTCACAAAATATATCTCCAGATAATCTTTATATCAAAAATAAATCCAGGCTAGATTTACTTGCAAATATGCATGGCCACTGCATACTATTTTACTATTACTATTAGCCAGAAAATTGACGCTATTAATGTATGGATATTCTCTTATTTCATGTAGATCGCTACTATTTTATAATGCTAATAGTTCCAATGAATTAAAATTTCACATTTGACCACGAGTGTTGTTGAAAATGAATTTTGATGTGACTGAGAATAATATTTCTCCGATAAGCATTGACAAGTATGGTACCAGATATAAATATCATAGCCTGTATAAATGTTTGTAGTTTTCTAAATTGTCCTAAGTTTCGCCATGGTTTTCCATTTATTTCTCATCAATCAAATACAAACTTTAAACTTTAACTCGGCACAAGACATGCAACTATTACTCACTGTTGTCTAAATACACAAAGTCAGTTGTACCTTAGATCATATAGCTCATAATTAATATTGATGAAGAATATTTATAGTATAACATACGGTATGAAAAAAAATAATTAATTAAATTAAGTTGTAATTAATAAAAACAATATCTACAGAAGATAAATACAAACATCATTAAAAATATGAACAGTTTTCGTCAGCGCATTATGTGACAGAGGCCAAACTAAAACAATGTCAATAGTTATGTTAAACTTAGAGAGAGATGGTAAAAACAATCGTCAATAAATATATATGGATCTTCCAAAAATAATTCATTCAGATATCAATAAAAATTAGAAACTTTGTAGAATGCTTCAAAAGATATATTCGGACCATTATCACAGACAAAATGCATGTTGTGTCATCTGCTATATTCTAATGTAACTATACATATATGACGTAAATATGGGTTTGCGCAAGAAATTATAAAAATATAAATACCGATCATATCTAAATAATTTGGTACCAAGCAAAAGGGGAATGTACATGATGTAAAAATAATTCATTTCAGCATCAATAATAGGAAAATATTCGTCTGTAAGCGTCAGAAAATTAAGTGTTGTGGTGGAATTTTTCGGAAAAATTCAGATTGAATCACATTTCTGGAGTCAAAACAAAAGTTTATTCCACCGCTCCAGACTCGTTAATGGCACTAAACTAGTTTTTAATGTGTCTTCTCTTTAAACACCTTGGTAACCAAGGACTTTCATTGAGAATTAGTGTCTGTCATTAAATATCACAATCTGCAATTTTGCCGATTTTACATGTGCACCATTTTGCTCACTGGAACACATTCATTGTTTACAATGACAACGTTTTGCTTAAGCTCATGTAATGTTGACATTGTTTAGAAGGGGTGGTCAGGTAGCCTAGTGGGTAAAGCGTTTGCTCCTCACGTGGAAGACCTGGGTTCGATTCCCGACATGTCTACAATGTGTGAAGCCCATTTCTGCTGTCCCCCGCCGTGATATTGCTCGAATATTGCTAAAAGTGACGTAAAACAACACTCACTCACTCACTCACTCACTCACTCACTCACTCACTCACTCACTCACTCACTCACTCACTCACTCACTCACTCACTCACTCACTCACTCACTCACTCACTCACTCACTCACTCACTCACTCACTCACTCACTCACTCACTCACTCACTCACTCACTCACTCACTCACTCACTCACTCACTCACTCACTCACTCACTCACTCACTCACTCACTCACTCACTCACTCACTCACTCACTCACTCACTCACTCACTCACTCACTCACTCACTCACTCACTCACTCACTCACTCACTCACTCACTCACTCACTCACTCACTCACTCACTCACTCACTCACTCACTCACTCACTCACTCACTCACTCACTCACTCACTCACTCACTCACTCACTCACTCACTCACTCACTCACTCACTCACTCACTCACTCACTCACTCACTCACTCACTCACTCACTCACTCACTCACTCACTCACTCACTCACTCACTCACTCACTCACTCACTCACTCACTCACTCACTCACAAGTTTCATAATTTCATGTTCTCCCAACTTCTAAAGGCTTATCAAAGCCTGAACATAACAGTTATATATCTTGTTGCAGCCTGGTTTATATCATGGAGCAGTACACGATCCTAGGACGCATCGGCGAGGGAGCACATGGCATTGTACTGAAGGCAAAACACACAGAGGTTGGTCTTTGGGCGTTCTGTAGTAGCCTGAAAAAACACATGACATGTGACAGAAAAAATGTTGTACATCAGCAGAATATTGGTTTTTGGACATCATACTTTTTTGGACAGCTATGTGTATAATGATTTCTCATGCTATAACCATGATAACGAAGGTGTTGCATCACAGACATTGAAAATATTCAAGTAATGGCTTGTTTTCAAGATGAAGTGAGTGAAATATTTTTCAGTTGTTCATGTGATTTGTGAGTGAGTGAGTGAGTGTGTAGGGTTTAACGCCGCTTGTAACATTATTCCAGTTATATCACGGCGTGTCAGCTTAATGTGGGAGGAAAGCCCGAATTCGAAGTGAGGCAGGTCTCAGACGTTTACCACTTCGGCGAAACCCACAAGCACGGGTATGGTGCTGACAAACCTAGAAACATAATCAGGGTGAACCGGGATTCGAACCCACAATCATAGGTTTCTGGCGTGCCCAAGGGACGCAACTCTGCACAGCGAATCACGGCGTGTGATTTGTGAGAAAACTGCAAATGTTTCTTAAGCGTATGAAATCTACGGTATAACAATTTTGAAAAGTCATTGCAATTTGTATATGGAAACTATCAACCAGGTCTATCACCAGTGCTTTGTGCTTTTGCTGTATTAGTATTGAAACTCTTGTGTCTCATGGATCTTATTGGCCGGACGGTGCATTATACTTCTTCAATAAAATTGTAAAAATTTCAGTGTAGCATTTGCAGTATGACACACTATTTCAATATTTTCTTATCTTATCTAACACCATCTATCACCCATCTCTTGACTGATGTGACTTTTAAAGTTTAAACAAAATTTGTTGGATCCTAAACAGGACCTTGGTTTATAACACCAGACATTTTTGTATTTTTTGTTTATAGATATTTTAGTGATCATGGTCGGTAGGTGGGAACGTTTCTGATTATTTGTTCTTCAAAAACTTATTTAAAAATGTGTGCCATGTTTGTCTGTGCTAGATAAGCCTCTCACTGTTGAGTCTATTGTAATCTTATTGTCCTCCTATGTTTCCTATTGTTACCACAATTTGTTTGTTGTATTATTTTTTCAGGGCCTGAGAAGCCCATAAAGCAAATGAACAAAATATCATACCAAAACAGACTCAAACAATCACACAGTGTAAGCCTGTGCTCTTTTCTAAGGGAGATGAGGTCACGGGTGGCCCTGTCGTTTCAGGCGTTGCAATTCGCTGTGCAGAGTTGCGTCCCTTGGACACGCCAGAAACCTATGATATTGGGTTTGAATCCCGGTTCGCCCTGATTATGTTTCTAGGTTTGTCAGCACCATACCCGTGCTCATGGGTTTCACCGAAGTGGTAAACATCTGAGACCTGCATCACCTCTGGCTTTCCTCCCACATTAAGCTGACGATATAACTGGGATACTGTTAAAAGCGTCATTAACCCCAACTCACTCACTCTAAGGGAGATAAATTGCAATCAGAGCAAGTCATTAGCATTGTACGGTAAGGAATTCTTCATGCAGATATCACATATATTATTAGCACAATTATATATTGTCATGTAAAATTGTCATTGGAATATATGCAGTATTTTGTCCTACAACAGTTCATTAACTACTGTATCCATTGGTTATGAGTGAGGCAAATTGAGAGAATGTGTTTGAATGTACATGTTGGTTTATCCTAAAGTGATCCAACAAACACATAATCTCATCAAATTCACATCTGCTTCTCTGATAAGACACCACTCTGCGTTAAAATCTGACAAGCATTCTGATTTCTGTACCCGCAAAAATGTAGTTAATTGGCCTGTTCCAAATGTAAATGATAAAAGCAGCAGCATTATATTGTAGATATTGTATACACTCTGTCATTTGCATTGCTGAGCCATGGCCTCAAAACCCAAAACCATTACAAGTATACTCAGTATTCCCCTGGTGAAGGGGCAAGAAGTAGCCCTGAAACATTGGTTAAACCAATCAAGAAGCTGGTATTTATTAAGAAGTCCATGCCTTCATAGAGATTCTTTGTGTAACTTTATGATGCTATTGTTGTCAGAGTGGTGAAGTGGTGGCCTTGAAGAAAGTCCCCCTCAGGAATCTGGACGATGGAATTCCAAACACAGCTCTAAGGTAAGTTTCCATTTTAACTCATTTTGTCTGTATCAGGTGTAGACATAAATTGCATTGCACAGCTTTGAATTGATGTGAATATTCAGGCGGCAACCCTGGCAAAATGATGGGCAAGGTAAAAGAAATATCAAAAAGACTCAGACTCTTGTCAGAACACTTTATTTTGGAGACGTGTATTGAGTTTTAGAGAATACATTTTAGTATTTTGGGGGTAAGCTACCTCCTCATTCGTAGCAACGTTTTTTCACTAACCTGAGGGAGGATGGGTACAGAACATGACAAATGCCTGGCCTGTCTAAATTGCAGACATACTTACTCCACTGCCGATCCTCATGATCACTGTGGTGATTATTGCTGCCATTTCTTTAGATACATAGACAAAAGATGTTCCCAGTGTTCCATCTTCACGGAGGAAGCTTTCAGCGTATTCTTACGCAAATGCAACAAGCATGATGTTGACCGCCAGTCGAAGACCTTTGCCAAGAAGGCCAAACGGGTCACCAAGCCAGCTGTGCCTTCCACCGTTCCAGTTGACAAACCACCATCGGTGTCTACGATGCCCTCCTTGTTGGTTGAAGATGATGGTGTCTTTGGCATCTTCCTCACTGACAACATTCCAGCTCAATCAGTCCAGCCATCTCTGTCCCCAGTGCGCTTGTGTCCATGCCTACGCTGTAGGAACCAGCAGCCTCAGATGTCCGCATGGTTCTCTCTAAGATGGATCTGCCGAGACGTCAGTTTCTTCACAACCAAGTTCAACACTTAGCAACCACGCTTTGTCTCTCACATCCTGGATCCTCAGGCAGTGGACCAAGACTTTCTGGCCATCTCGTGGGAGAACCTCAATGCCTACGCTTTTCCCCCAACCGGGGCATTCAGACGGCAGTGTCAACCAACCAATTTCGACTGCTTTTGGTCGCTCCCTATTGCCCAAATCGAAGTAAGTTCGCGATGCTGGTACAGATTGCAGAAAGAAAGTTCAACCATCTTCCACTGGGGAAGATCTTCAACTCCATCCTCATTCCCACCTACTGCACCCGTCGCACGAAATCCTTGTTATTCCTGATTTCATGTTGTAACGTCCGAATGGTGAGGTGAGGTGAAATTGGGTTTTAACGTCGCGTCTAAGATTATTGCACTTATATAGCGACGTGCATGCACGTGTGTGTGTGTGTGTGTGTGTGTGGCTGCTTGTACTAGTCCGGACTGATGGCGATTCATAGTGCTAGCTCACTGAGATACCATGCCGCAGTTTAACATGAATACCCAACTCAGACACAGTATACTGACTCCGAGCCGACCAGTCCTTGATTTAGCCCCTTAATGCCGAGCGCCAGACAGGGGAACAACAAGTACCATCTTTTAACGTCTTTTGATATGACGCGAACGGGGATCGAACTCCAGGCGGACGCTCTACCACAAGACCACGGAGGCGGTCACATCCGAATGGAGTACAAGGGGTCTCATCACCTGTTATGGTGTATTCACTCACACACTCACCAGTTTTTGTCTTTATAACACTTGGAAATGTTATGGTTTCTTTTATCACTGTTTAACACCAGCTTCCTCCTGTATGTCTGACAGTGTAGACTCTACAGGCTGGGTATAAGTGCATAGTGGGAGATAGGATAAGTTTAAGAATTTGTAAAGTTTACATTTTACAAATTAATATAAAAATTATAATTTCTAAAAATTTATTAATGCTACTTGAATTTATTACATAAAAGATTGTACATTTTCTTGGTTATAGCACTTCTTGGAGTGACTCATAATTATAGTTTTTGATTATTTGAATGTTTACCTTTATCCATTTGTGTTTTCAGAGAAATTAAGGCTCTACAAGAGATAGAAGATAATCCATATGTAAGTGATATGTCCTACACAGTCATTATTAAACATTCTCCCATGAATTTGGAGAATGATCAAATTAGACTGATAAATCAGAGGTTTCAAATCACATAACATGGCTATGATTTAAGTAATATCATTACCACCATGGAAATAATTACCAAAACATATTGATTTCTCACTCCTGGTTGGGATGCAGTTTCAAATAGTGATACATATGTATATACAAATGTTGGTTACAAATACTTGGTTGTTCTTGGACTGGGGATTCGGACGAGTGGATAAAGTCACAGACTGACACAGTGGAGATTATACATATTCATGTTGGTAATAGACCAATCAAGCTTAAAACAATGTCATTCACATTGAAACTAGGACCCCCCAAATAGGTTACTGAACCATGAGGATCCGGGGTAGAATAGGTCTTCAGCGACTCATGCTTGCCGTAAAAGGCGACCATGTTTGTCGTAAGAGGTGACTAACGGGATCGGGTGGTCGGGCTCGCTGACTTGGCTGACTTGATGCATGTCATTGATCCCAATTGCGTGGATCGATGCTCATGATATCAATCACTGGATTGTCTGGCCCAGACTCGATTATTTACAGACTGCCGTCATATAGCTGGAATATTGCTGAGTGGGTCATTAAACAACACACATATGATGGCATCATCATAAGGGTGTTAAGCGTTGCTCTTGCTTTCAATCACTGGTTTGTCTGGTCCTGACTTTATTGTGTCCAGTCCTCTGCGATACAGCTGGAATATTTCTGGCTGCGATGTAAACAACATGCACACATTAACTTTTAGTTTGGGAATATTGAACAAATTTTGACAATAATTTGCTGGTGTGGATGATGATGTTGGAGATAATTGACTTCTTCTATCCCCAGACGGTGAAGCTGCGGGAGGTGTTCCCTCACGGGACGGTGATCGTGTTGGTGTTTGAGTACATGCTGTCTGACCTGTCTGAGGTGATACGAAACTCGGAAAAACCTCTCTCCGAAGCCCAGGTGAAGTCCTTCATGCTGATGTTGCTGAAAGGAGTTGCCTTCTGCCATGAGAACAACATCATGCATCGGGTAGGTTGGCCAGTTTCTGTACCAGGCTGTCACCTGGCTGTGGGTCATTGTACCCCAGTAGTAGTTGTTGTTGTTCATGCTCTCAACCACTGGTTTGTATGGTCCAGATGTGATTATTCCTCCCATGAGGCAACTGGAATATTACTGTAATGCTGACTGAAGAAAAGCCAATATGCACTCACCAATAATAATACCAATCTTTTCAGTTATAGTGACACAGAATATCTCAAATCTTTTAAGTACAGTGAAACAATGTTGTTGAGAGCTGTATCTGGCTCCCATTGTAAATGAGACAATGGTGAGTCTAGGTTACACAAAACCAAATGTTTTCCCATAGACCTCTATAGTAGGTGAGGTGAAATTGGGTTTTCCATCTTTTAACGTCTTTTGGTATGACGCGGCCGGGGATCGAACCCCGGACCTTCCGCTCTCCGGGCGAGGCTCTACCACTCGACCACGGAGGCGGTGACCTCTATAGTATGTGTTATAGATTTGTTTTAAATAACTAAGCTTTCAGCAGCTATTACATGTCGTTGGCACAGTCTGGCCTTAAAGCAGCAATAAAAACATAACTGGTACTTAGCCAGTACCTTTTCCAAGTACAGGAAGCTGAACACAACAACAAAGGTTTCGCACCAAAGTCACCTGCTTGAAAATGTATGTGGTCACATTCAGCATAAGTTATCATGTTAAAAAAGACAGTACTAAGTATGGTCAGTTTTAGAACTGACATATAACATGGGACCAGAGCTCAAGATAACTTTTTGAGCAATTGAGTTTTTACTCTGGGGTTTCTATTTTAATATTGGGTTATTACATTTTTCATTGGGTAACCAATATTTTTTCACTCATCTATTCATCACTCAATTGGGTTTTCCCCAAAATTACTGAACATTTTAAGATTAAAAAAAAATTGAAATAATGTTTTAGATGTACATAACCATAATAACTGTTCTAAATATATAGGCTTGACCCGGAAAGTAAATTAGGTCATAATTGTGTTTCGGAAATTAGCTCCTTTGTATGCATGCCGAAAAAGCTTCATTGGATATTTACGCGTGCTGTTTGAAACATTTGAGTTTTTCATTTAATGCATGCGTTCCTGTAAGCAAGTTAATCAAAAGTAGTTGGGTTTTGAATATTTTTGTGGGGTATATTAAGCAAATACGTAGCTCATCTGTAGCTCTGTGGGACATATGGTCAGTTTTAGTTACTGGATGGATGTACATTTGAAAAAACATAAAAATCTTACACAATATCTTCCAATCACAGCTTCCAAATGTCTCAATCTGCACTGAAGGCTGTCTACAAAAACGTCTGTGGGAATAACTGATTCTGATTTATAGTGTTGTAGAACTTCTAGTGACACACAGACATACAATGATTATCTCCCTTTGATTGTGTTGATCAACTTCGGTCACAGTTGTGATACTGTTAATGTTTTGGACATTATCATTTAAACTTTAAGACATGTGGTGATGAAATCTATTTTTTTGTTTAAAACTGAAATAATATACAGGTATATGCCATATCATCTCAACTATGACATTATTATTCACATTGACAGTGTTAACTTTCCACTCAGTATTTAGATCCAGTTTGATAATAGACTAACTGTTATATAAAATCACTGTTTCTTAACAGTCGACATTTCTTAGAAAAATTGGCTGTCACAAGTGTTCTTTCTTGTCACTTGGTTGATAATTCAACATCAATCACAAAAACAATCCTTAGGTTCCACAAAATGGGATGAATTGCAAAATGTTTACATCATTTCTTTTAATTGGTTGGTTGGTTTGATGTTTAACGCCGCACTCAGCAATATTCCAGCTATATGACGGCGGTCTGTAAATAATCGAGTCTTGACCAGACAACCCAGTGATTGATATCATGAGCATCGATCAACGCAATTGGGATCGATGACATGCATCAACCAAGTCAGCCAGCCTGACTACCCGATCACATTAGTCGCCTCTTACGACAAGCATAGTCACCTTTTACGGCAAGCATGGGTTGCTGAAGACCTATTCTACCCCGGAATCTTCACGGGTCTCATTTGGATTGGATAGTGGGAGCCAGCAGAGTTTTACTGCACTCTTACTCCATTCTTGCTGGTAACATTAGATTTCAAGCGATGCACATGATGAATACTGCTGTGACATGGTGGAACAGGTACTAACATTTAGAATATTACTGAACATACTATCTACAGATGTATTTGTGTCACAAGTGGAAAGGGGTACATGGGTGGCCCAGTCGTCTAAGGCGTCGCGATTCACTGTGCAGAGTTGCGTCCCTTGGGCACGCCAGAAACCTGTGATTGTGGGTTCGAATCCCAGTTCACAACGATTATGTTTCTAGGTTTGTCAGGACCATACCCATGCTCGTGGGTTTCACCAAAGTGGTAATCGTCTGACACCTGCATCACTTCGGGCTTTCCTCCCACATTAAGCTGACACGCCGCGATATAACTAGAATACTGTTAAAAGCGTATTATAACCAACTCACTCACTCACTAACAAGTGGAAAGTCTGGATGGGTTTCCTAGTTAGAAGACGGCCTCCTTGATCTAGTAGACAGAGCATCTACCTAGAAAGTGGAATGTCAGTGGTTCCACCTATGGCCGTGTCATACCAAAAGATGTAAAAAGATGATACTTGTTGTTACCCTGCCTTGTGCTCAGCATTAAGGGGCTGGAACAAGGACTGTTCGGCTCAGAGTCAACATACTGCATCATATATGTGACATGATGAGTTAAGATAACAACCTAGTAGCAACTTAATGGATCGGATGGTCATTGATTGATTTTCTGCCATTGTACCCAGATGGCATGGATCATTTACTCATTATATCAATTACTTGATTGTCTAATCCAGACTCGAATATTTAAAGATCATTCAGTTGAATATTGCCTGAAACAACCAACAATGAAAAGATGTTAATTTTTACGACAGGACTTGAAGCCAGCCAACCTCCTAATCAGCTCCACAGGACATCTAAAGATTGCTGACTTTGGTCTTGCGAGAGTGTTTGAGAACAAACGAGACAGGCAGTACAGTCACCAGGTGGCTACACGGTGAGTTACCTCCCCTTGATGTCTGGAAATAAGCACATGAAAATATAAATATGTCCCACTGGAACCCAATTATATAATCTGGGAAATCTTCTTATTGGAACAAAACTTGTCAACAATGTTCTCATTTTTCAGGAGACATTTCTTTCTTTTAACTGCCGCAAAACTTTGGAACTGCTGAGAGCAATCAGCAAAAATAACAACTAAAATATTTGTGCCCTGAAATATACAATTTCTGCAACTGACATTATACCCATTGCATGATGTTAAATACATATACAAGCTCCTGTGTAATACCAACTTTATGAAACGAGTGAATAGTTCTGGTATCTTGACGAGCGAAAAGGTTTTGAAATAAATGTTTTGATTATATTATGAACTAACAAGAGAAAAATAAGATATTTTTGTAGAGTCAGCACTCATGGTGATTTTTACTGAAGTAAGTTGACATCAAACGTCTTTATGACGTCACAGCACAACTGTATCCTTGCACCCGTAAGGTCCCTTCCCTTTCCTCCTGGGGGGTCATATGTTTGGATGTTCATGAAGCAATGTTTCTATTGACTAAGGCTGGGACGATACACCAGCTGTGCGATCAATCTCGTTAAAACCAGTTCTTAGTTCTCGCTACCGCTAAACAAAGATCTGAGGACATCCCAGTACGGCACATGTCAGAGCGACCTTGAGCGAACTTTGACCGACCAATGGAATGACCAGTCAGAAGACAGCTTTCTCGTGCTTTACGGCACTAATTTCAAATTGGTGATACGCTTCGAAACATATTTTGACAAATTCTCGACTTAAAATTTGAAACCTGAACAAATGAACATTCTTGAATGGCCTATAGATAGTCTAGATTGTATGGATTCAGTCGTTAAACCAGTAACTATCGTTCTGAGTACCCCATGTTAAAGTTTTCGAGGTTGCATGATTAGAAATCACATTCCGATCTGGTTGGTTGGATGAAGGGTCGTTCTGACGTGCCCCCTAATGGGATGTCCTCAGATCTTTGTTTATTGGTAGCGAGAACTAAGGTCTGATTTTAATGAGATTGACTATGCGATCTGATAAGATTCACGAAACATTGCTCACGATCCGATACGTATCACGAACTTGCATGTGCTCTTATCTGTGGTACATAAGCCATCTTTTTCTTAGAAAGGCTGGCCAAATACCTGACACACTAGAGATTTACAGTTGGTAGTATGGATAGCCCAATGGATGAAAATATTTGTTTTCACTACTCATTTTCACTAGTAATTAGTGTTTGGTGTATCATTTATTAAAGAATAGATTTAAGGTAAGAATCGAGACTTTTTACTTAGTGTGGAATTGTGATCGATACTTGTATCAAGAAGTAAAAAAACGCGCTCCACCGATGCATTGGTGTATCGTCCCACAACTACTATTGACCCAATGGAGAAACATGTTCTCCTCGAACTCATGGAGTGTAAAGCACATGTTGTTCAGTACCAGGTTGTGGACAGCATCATTGTTTACTATTTGTGGTGCTGGTGGTGAGTCTGACAGAGCAGGGATCATCTTCCAAACTCTTTCTCCCACATGGACATTCCTCCACCCAGGTGGGTACATCTTTCCAAGGATAGGAAGTTAACTGACTTGCCAAACTAGGCTGGATTTTCTGGGCTCGATCGTAGCAATTATGAGTTATGTCCCTTCTATGTCCCTCCTATTGACCAATCAGATTCCACCTCTCATATCACTTGCATTTGCTGCAATCCAAATGGCGGCGCCCAGTCAATCTGACGATCTGACTGATAATCAAACAGGTCTTACTTTGCGATGTCAAATCATGTGAGAACCTTGATTAAATACATGATAAGATTTGGAAAATATCTGTCGATGCTGAGTTGGCGGTACACATACCTTGCAAATCCTGCAATCGACCAAAATCTGCACTGCAGTTTACAAACCGGATGTCGATTTTATGTAATTTTGATTGAATGATGCATAGACTCGTAAGTCCAAAATGTAACCCTTAGAAATTTGCACTTGCCCTATAGTCCTTGCAAACTGCACGATAGTTCAGGTATCATGAGGACTAGTAGAAATTTGCCATTTTTAATGGTTTTGCTACATGTTATCATTATAAGGACTAGTGGACATAAATGTTAGTTTCTGTCACTGGTAATACCAGCCTCGTTCGGCAAGGGGGAAAACTGGCCTTTTATATCAGTTAATTCCCTTGCCTCAGGAAGATGGTTCGGTAGCTCAGAGTCTAAGTGTGAGCAAGTCACTGGACTGAAGGATGCTAAATTGTGACATACACAAAACATTACCTATGTATATGTCCCATACATAACAACGACCTAGATATATGAGACTAAAAACTTTTTTATGTATCCTTGTATTTACTGTCTTAAATGTCTGTTTTTCATTTTTCATATTTCACAGAATTATCTGTAGATCAAGACAAAGGTCTGGCCCACTGGTACAATAGTATTGCAGTAGTTAGGGCTGTGTACTGGCAATGAAATTGTATTGCAATATATTGCGATACAGGCATGTTTATCGAAATACGTATTAAGATATTTTGGGAGGTTAAGTGTTTGGCAGTGGCTGACACTGATTAAACATGTACTATTGTAAATATTACTCAACATGGTCAGTTGCCACAATTTTTAGAGTCCTGGATTCAGGGGGACATAATGTCAAGAGAAAAAAAATCATTTCCTCTGTTTTGTCGATCAATTTCGAAGGAAAACATCATGTGTGAATGACTTTTTGATTAGATTTTTGGTTGAATGATACAAATAATAACAAAACTTGTTAAATTTCTAACCCAATATAACAGAACACGAATTATTAATTGCAGGGGCGGTGGGGTAGCCTAGTGGTTAAAGCGTTCGCTCGTCACGCGGAAGACCCGGGTTCGATTCCCAACATGGGTACAATGTGTGAAGCCCATTTCTGGTGTCCCCCGCCGTGATATTACTGGAATATTGCTAAAAGCAGCGTAAAACATAACTCACTCACTCACTATTAATTGCAGGTTGTATCAATTTAAAACCTATTGCAGTATACCGGTAACACCATGCTGTAGAACTCTGTAGTCATTAAAAGATGGTACATGTTGTACCATGCCTGGCCTCGGCATTAAGGGATTAGGGACTGGTTGGCTCGGAGTCTGCAACCAGGTATCTCTCGCACGATAAAACCAGTATAAGTCCAGGCAAGCAGCCACACACATGTATATAAGTACATATAAATCTTGAACATGGCATTAAAATCCATTTTAACCTCACTCACCTTTGAACTATTACTACACTATTGCATTGGGGTACTTAATCGTACTATATATTTGTCCCTGAAATCCACACTTTGACAGTCGGTACCAGCCAGTGATAAAAAATGGCATATTTCCATTTTTTATATTGTCCATACATCCAGGTTCATGAGATGACCTGCCAGAACATATGCAACTTATGTTTCATTGATGCTTCTCTCATGCTGATTTCAAATAAAAAACATTTATTTTTATCATTTGTCTGGGCCTTCAAATAATATTAGTTTTACTTGCCAGAATATATGCAAAATGTTTGTTAATTGCCTTCTCGTGTGTTGATTGTCAATGAAAACCAATCATATTATTTAAAATATCAAATTATGTTATGTTATTCCCTTTTTCACATCAAATACTGACTAAATTTGCAGGATTTTGAAATATATTTAGAGAAAACATAAGTAGACCGGTGTAAGGTCTACCCTGACTTGTTTCAGGGGTACTCACTGTGTGTAAAAAAAACTAGAGTCTAATTCTATTTTTATTGTATTTTTATTTTGACCACAAACCAAGGCTTTTGAGAGAAAAATCTGTAAACCAACTGATCAATCTCATTAAAATCCAATCTTCCTTGCATTAACAGGGCGGTCATGTAGCCAAGTGGTTAAAGCGTTCACTTGTCATGCCGAAGACCCGTATTGTGAACAATACTACATTCATCGACGCACACACTTGACAGCAAACAGAGATACGTTCCACAGCAAATACATCTGCACAATATTTTGTGACAAGTTCGTGTCATGCAATAATCATTTGACAAACTTGAGTTTTTCCAATGTATTTACAAACAAGACTTTCATTGATTATTGGTCTCCTGAAATGACAATAAGCATATCAGATCACACAGCTGAATATCTCCTTGTGGTTTTCTATACATTTCATTCAAAAACATTTTGTGATGTATGTTCAAATGTTTGTAATGACACGATATCAATAATTGGAGTTTGACAAACATGCGGGTCAAATAGACACTTGTCAGTAAGAATCGATCAAGTCAGATGTTATGAGTGAGTGAGTTGAATTAGTGCCACCTTTTATTGCAATTATATCACAGTGTGTCAGCTCAATTTGGAGGAAAGCTCGAAGTGATGCAGGCCTAGAAACATAATCGGGGCGAACCGGGATTCGAACCCACAATCATATAGGTTTCTGGCTTGCCCAAGGGACGTAACTCTGCACAGTGAATCGTGGCGCCTTAGACGACTAGGCCACCCTGAGGCGTGCCACCCGTACTCCTCTGGGTCATCTGTGCCCCCAGATATTATGAAATATAAATTGCTCTACTGGATAGTGGAAAATGTCAAATCTGATACAACATGTCCCCTATTTTGGTATACTTTGACAGAATGACAATACCGTAAGACCTGACTGTTAGATGTAAGGCCTCAAACACATTTACAAGCTAAAGCCATATTTGTATTTATACTTGGGTTACGAATCTGACGATACCAAACAATTTAAATGTAAAAATGTAAAGCAGTGTTTTTTTATACCGCTGACCAGAAATAAGTACAATGTTTAAAAAAACCACATTTATTATTTTATATAAATGATTCAAAATACTGTTATCAAAACCTTTTGAAATTTATCTTAAGAATTTCAGAACAGAACTAAATTATGACGAATCGTGACAGATCTGTGTCTATAACGGAAGGATGCATGGTAACCCTTATCTGTTTTTCTCTCTATTCCTCTTGCC